AAAAAATAGAAAGCAACAGATGGAGAAAATCTGAATCAACAATGACAAATCAAGGAATGACTCTAGGAAAATGGATGGAACATTTCAGCCTATTTCCCAGTGATCCGAGGAGTCTTCTGGTTGCCTTTTATGTTGGAAATATAAAGTCCGACATTCAAATCCTTCGGAATATTTTTCCAATACCGGGAACATCGTTATAACCTGCGGAAAAGTGGATCCGAATGAGCGGGACACTCTCAACCCTCATCACTATTCGAGACCGATTTCTCCCGCGCGCGAATGCTGAGCGTCCGTAACGAGTCCGTTCGCATTTTACCTGTGTAATGCTCTGTTTCGTTTCTAATTTCAATTTTAATTGTGTTATTTAATACCGTATTTAGTTAGCAAATAGATGGACTACAAAAATCTCCCTTGATTTGAAATTCAGTTATTGATGCCATATTTTCGAGTTCTTGGTCTGAATAATTCAGCTTTTTGAAAAAAAATAGAACGGTTCATATCTCGTTGATCGCGTTTGTTTCCATGTTTCCAGCAAAGAAAAGAACTCGAAAGCAAACTGAAACCTGTGTGTCTGAGTTAGTGAAAATTGCAATGTTAATGTCTTCCCAGATGTGCTACATACAAATGTTTTTGTTTAAAGGCTTTTATTAGATAACTCTTTTGCATTAAATGCGCTGCAGGCGCACCAGCACCCTTCCTGTTCTCTCCCTATTTTTCTATATTTTCTTCACTCTTCTTTGTACCAGACATCACATTGATCTAAGAGACGCAAAGAAAGCGCGCGCGTACACACAAGGGGAGGAGAGGGTCTCGCAACGATTTGACAACAGAAAGGATTAGTACGGTCGAGATTGTCGATTTACGAGCGTTTGAAAATAATATTTGTCCGTTTTAAACTATTAAAACCGCTCCGTTCAAACACCTTCCTGAAAGAACTTTGGATTCCAAGAGATGTCTGTTCGGTGAGCTGCGCAGCAAGGTCGGAAACACTCAGAAGTCGTCGCTAAAGGAAAATCTATAAAGTCCCGAAAATGTATATGATTCTGCAATGGAGAACTTCTGAAGCATGTAGTTTTTCAATCAGTGATTGCTTGATAAATAAAATTTCGTCACTTACAAATATCGCATTGGCATCAAAAGGTATCTTTGCCATCCGACATTTGTGGTTGAAGATTCGTCGAGCAGATATTCGAAATAAGCGCTGAATCGTGAGTTTTTTTTAAATTTTCGAGTTTCCTCATTGGAGGTTCTTTTCGACTAATAATCGTTAACACTATTACGGCACTTCAGAATGGCAGTGTGAGCTTATCTGGATCAATCAACAAAGGATGTCAAAGAGGGACGCTGAATGTGAGCTCAATATGAGGTTGTCGTTTTAGGAATGACCATCCGATAACTGGCAACAATCAGGAATTACCAACATTCTGTTCAATTGGGTATGAGAGGAAATGGAGAGCCTGAGATTATGAAATGTCTGAATATCGTGTTTTTTGGAGAAACTACATTTGAATCGCCGAATCAAGATTGAATTTACGTTTTTCCGGACATTCTATGGAAGAATTTTTGTTTTTCCGGACATTCTATATTGGACGGAATACGGTGATTCCCATCTCCCAAGAAAGCTGAGAGTCACAAACACTCCGCAATTATTGGAAATGGACGTTTTCGATGGAGAAATTCAGATGAATCTTGAATACACAACTATTCTTGGATCTTCCCGTGGACATCCAGAATCACAAAATTTATTCTGCTTTCAGAAACGGCAAACATTCAAGATTTTCCACAAGATTGTCGTCAATGCTGGTTCGAGAAGAGGACTGAATGTTTCAGCAGATTATCGATTTTCGGCGTCGGGACCTTCTGGTGTTTTTGTGAGTGCCTATTGAACTTGGAATTGCAGAAAAAATTTCAGGTTCTCTAAGGTTGCACAAAAAAGTTTGAAACACTCAACGATCGTCCCAGGAATGTGCTATTCTACAATGGAGAACATGCAATCAGGGATTTTATCTACTTGGTTAATGAAACGTCGCCAGTTACAAATATCGTGATGGGATTGAAAGGTGTCCTTGCCATCCGGTGTTTGTGGTTGGCGATGTATCAAGTGAATCATCAGAATATGTGCTGAATGGAGAGTTTCTCTCTATTTTTAAGTTTCGAAATCGACGTTACTTTCTTTTACTGCAGGTATGATCTTTGAAACAAAATAATCAGCAAAATAAAACAATTTTTTCTTCAACATTTGAAAAGAAAATTAAAAATCAGCGAATAATACGACGAACCGCCAGAACACCCTCAGTGATCAAGAAGTTGGCGAGAGAGATGACGAAATAAAGGAAGATTTCCTTGTGAATATCCTTCATCTCGTTGATGCGTTTCTTCATGGAATCGAGTCTGTAAGAAATTCATGAAAAATATTAATCTGTTTCGAACCATTAAAGACACATTTTAAGACGCATCGTCGCTCTTAAAGCGGGAACAGATACGGTTTTTACAAATAAATCCATGCGCCTTTGATACAGTACTTCGGAAATTTTTTCACCAATTTCTCCCAGATTTTGGCTTGTTTCTGTTTTTTTTCTACTAGTTCCCATGATTTGTTAGCTGAATTTCTTTATAAAATAGAGTAACATTCGAAAATGAGTTAACGCAAATTAATTTCGAAGTACTGTATCAAAGACGCATGAATTTACTCGTAAAAGACAGAGCTGCTTCTGCTTCAGGACCGACAAAGAGCCTTTAAATAAGTAGGCCATAAGTTTCATCACCGCTGGACAAGAATAACTATTTCGAAAAGTTCCAAAAAAGTTATTTGCTCATGAAGGGGCAGGGATGTTCGGAACGGAATTCAAAAAAAAACGAAAATGCCGAAAATTATGACCGGAATAATTCCGAGAGATTTTTTCGGAATCCAATTCCGACCGGAATTTTTCTGAAGAATTTTTTGCGGAATTAAAAATTTTTCAACTACGATATGCCAAGAAAAATTTGCTTCCGGGTCTCAAACAGAATTGATTTCGAAAATTCTTTGCGTTGTCGAAATTTTTCTGTCAATTTTCGAAACATTTCACGTTTTTGTGAAGGAAAAATAAAACTTCCGCTTTGAAATTCGAACTTTGAAAAATTCCGAAATTTCAAAATTGGAAAATTTCGAATTTCCGAAATTTTGAAAATCGGAATTTCCGACATTTCGAAAAATTCCGAAAAAGCCATTCCGATTATCCCTGTGGAGGGGTGCCTTGATTTCTGTGAATGTGATAACGGAACAGTGTCTTACCCGATTTCGATCCATTCCTTGATCTCAATCTCCTTGAGCTCCATGCAGTACAAGACTGCCAAAAAGCCGACAGCGATGGCTGCAACGACAGAGGGACGCATCTTCGAAGACTTGATGGGATTTCTGTAAAACAAAAATTTGGCTTGATATGACGCAAGCAACCAAAAAACGATCTACCGTATTCTCTCTAACAGTACCCCACCTGAACCATCGACTTTGAGTTCAATTATCTCGATTCCTAGTGAAGGTTTTAGGTATGTGTCAACAAATATATTATTCATTATAATATCACCAATATTATATCAGTTGACAGTTTTTTGGTATCTTCGACAGAAATCGAGATGATTGAGCTTCAAATGGATGGTTGGGTAGGCTTGTACAATGCGGTCCATATCTTTAGGACCCCCTCGATTTTGGCAGTTTCAGAAAAAAAATAGAATGAGCTCTTTTTTATTTCAAATCGAATGGCGTTCACAGAATTTTGATATCTCTTCTCGTTCTTTTGGAATCGCCAAAATCAAGAGGTCCTAAAGATATTGACCGCACAACATGAGAGAAAATACGATAAAGCCGTTCTCAATCGGAACAAAAAGCAAGTGACTGATTTTTTCTTCTAGAATGAACGAAAGGAGAGGGAACACTCTCTCACTCTCTAACAGATTCTGATGACTAATCTTTTCCATCATACAAAAATTTTCAAAACAACTGCAGCTTGTGATGAAATATCATTAGAAACTGAGAGAGACAGTTGATGAGAAAGCATATAGTGGGCGGAACATTGATTCAAAGCAATTTCTTGAAGTGGACTACCGTAGACCTCAATGAATCATCTCAAAATGAATCGGAATTGTCACGATTATTATGAAATGCTGACATTGTATTAACTGGAAAGTTATAGAAACTGTTCGAAAAACCAAATATCGTCTGTTGTTAGAAATACCCAGGATTAACCATTTATAGAGTTTCAGGAAACGGAAAAACTGACCTCAATGGTAGATTTTTTACTGGAAATCATCATATCAGCATGAAAATGGAAAATTTCATTGTTCTATGAAATCAAGAAAAAATCTTTGCAACGAACCAGACCTATCAAAAATTTGGTATGCTGAAAATTAGAATTTATTGAAGTTTTGAAATCCGAAAACCGTAAAATCTCTATTAAAAGGTTCTGTAGCTGCACGAAGAGTTCAATTATCTGAATACCTATGGGATATCAAAAATATGTCAACTAGTAAAATGCTTGTGATATTACGACTTGCTATCTCTAATAGAAACTGAGACAATTGAGCTCAATGTGCAAGTAGAGGGTGGCCCTCTATTAAAGTGTTCGCGGTAATATTTTCCTTTGCCAAGTGTGCTTCTTTATCACTGCTCTCCTGTTATCACATTTGTCAATCGCAAGTCTCGTTTTTTTCTGAAATTCAATTTTTCAATGTTTTGTTTTGAATTCAGGAGAAATTTTTTCCAAAACTTTCGTTTTCCAAAAAAGACCTATCCTGAAGAATGAAAATTCACAACACCTATCTTTCTACTTTGAACTATTCACAATGCTTTTCTCCCTTCTTTTTCTGCTCCATAATTAGTTTCGAATCATCATCATTATGTTTGGCAACAAGTGAAACGGAAAGTAGAAGAAATTATAGAGAAAGAAAAAGTGGGAGGGTATTCTTGAAATTCCACTCCTTTGAAGCGTGATTATTGTTGCTTCAATGCTCACCCTAGACTTTTTATCACACAGAAAGGTAAGCAAGCCAAACTTTTTCCATTTCCTCTTTTATTTCCTCCCGAATTTCGATAGAGATGTGAACTTCCTTTTGACAAACGTTATTTTTTTCAGAAGGTATATTCCTCATGTGTGCAATGAAGTCAATCAGGCCAGCTAAAAAACCAGCATGGAACGCTTCGAAGCAAACAACTATCCGTGAGTAACTGAAAATATTCCCTACACTTTATCCCTAAATTTTATTTTGTTCAGTTGTTACTGTTCAAGCGAACTCTCTTCAATTTTTTTCTCATCTAACCCTCCCAACAGCAGCCAATCCAGATAAAATTGTTGCACCGATTCCGGATACAGTAGCTGGACCAGCTCCTCCGGTTCTTGCATTCGATTTGACAGCAACTGCTCCCGAAGCTACAATTTTTCCTAAATTTGAGCTCAATTCTGGTGAGTCCCGTCTACTAATTCTAGTTTTCAACCAGTTCTAACAGCAAATGTGATCAAGAGCGCACTTGTTCCAAATAGTGTAGCTGCACTGGTTCCAGAAACAGTATCTGCTTCTACAACTACGCTTGTCCCGAAGGGTGAGATGAATTCCAGTGAGTTCCGTCTACAGATTCCGTCTTTTAGAGATGTGCTCACTGGAGCATAAAACGTATGGTTCTGGAGTCTGGCTATAAATCGGCTCAAAATGATCCAAATTTGCTCGAATTTTGAGAAAATGTGTGTCTAAACTGCTCTACAATATACATACAAAACTTTGAATTTTGAGAGCAAAAAGTGTTTTCATAGTACATAGATTCTCTTCGGTACATAAAAATAAAAAAATTATATAAAAATGTTTATTCCCAAAATACAAAGTTTTGTATGTATATTGTAGAGCAGTTGGAAACACACATTTTTTCAAAATTCGAGCCAATTTGGATAATTTTGAGCCGAGTTACAGCCAAGCTCCAGAACCATACATTTTATGCTCTAGTGAGCACATCTCAAGAGCAAGTGTTCCAAACCGCTTCAATTTTTTTTTGTATATTTTTGATCTACACCAAGCATTTTTCATTACAAAGCCAATCTTTAAAAAATTTATGACGGAAATGTTTTTTCTTCTGGAGTCATCGTCACGTCTGTGAAGATTCAGAAGACGCAAACATTGATTGAGTTCCAAAAAACTTATACAACGTTTTGTTGGAAACCCAGCTACATTTAACAAAAAAGTTTTCAATGATTGGACAAGCTGGAGCGAAGTTATGAACATAAACATTTGTGAAAATACGATATTTACGAGTTGACAGACTCCTTTCTTTTCAATAATGCAAAGTCGTTTACGCCAAGAATAGGATTTTAGCAACCCTTATTCAATTATTTACAAATTCTATACTCACCAAACAAGGGACAACCAGTTTTATCACGTTTCAAGCCCAAGCAATTCAGAAATACACTCGATCGACCCATCTACTCCCGCGATTCCTCAGATTCAGTACGTTCAAGATCCAAGTAAAGCTCCTACAACTATAACATATCGTTCAATCAATAACTTACAGTCAGAAAGTCACTTCTCGATAGTGACAGAAAGCTGCAGATTGTTTCTCATGCAAAGTACCTGCTTCAAATGGACTGCAAACTTCGATGTTGTTGGAATCGTTTGAAAATGACTATCGACAGTAACGTCGCAATGAATTCAAAGATTACTGCGGATATGGACAAATTTGAACATCACATCAACGACATGGAACCAAAACTGAAGCTGCAGACAGAGTCATGTAAACTTGCTGAAGAAGAGCTCAAAGTTTTGAAAAGTGCTATCGAAAGAGATCCCGGTGATCAAAATAAATATCGCGATACTTACAACAAAATGATGGAAAAAATAGAAGTTTTGAAAGGACAGCTCATAAAAACTGCAAAAGAGCTTGAGAGGATAAAGAGAACAAACTCGGGTGCATACGATATGTGGTATCGACTTCAAGTGGAAAATACGAATGACTGGAACAGAATGCTTCAGTTAGAACAAGCTGAAAGAGTTGCGAGAATGCTATTGAGAGAACTTTGCGGGATTCATGTAGAGTTTGGGAAAACTGAAGTCGGAAAAACGGTAGTTTTCCCTAAAACTAAACGATATCGAATTGTTGACCAACATTTCAGCCGACTCCGGAACCGGGCCCATTTGAAACTATGTTGGGCGTGGTTTACAAGATTATGGATTTGAAAGATTTCACGGAAGAGGAGAAAACTATTGTCAAAGAGAACCTCGTCGGTACCACATTCAAATTTGAAGAAATATTCGAATCGGAGAATCCATATGGTTAGTAAATTAGTAGATTTTTCTGAATTTTTGTAGTTCTAGATCTCGAAACGTCTAGAAAACGAATATTCCCAGTTTCATACAATCATGTCTGCACATGCTCTAAGAAAACGAAAAAAGAAGACAGCATCGAAAAATCAGACGATGAATCGAAGAGTGATGATCAAAAAAGTGAGTTATGTTTCGATAGACTAACTAATTTTTGCAGCGAATCTCAGTGGCGACGAACTTATCACCCAAAATATACATCCTCAAACTACAACTATCAAATCTGATTGTGCTTGAAAATTTTCGAGATTTTGATCAACCAATTAATTTTTGATATTACATATTTTGTGATTCTCTATCTTCCAGCAAATTTCACTTTGAGCTTCATCCAAAAAAGCTAGTATATTTGTCTCAATTATAGTTTTTCTCTTTCCCATCTCATTGAATCTCTTTAAATTGTCTGATTCATTTTTCCCTTCTTTAGTAAATCCCAATCGATTTCCAAAATTTTCAGCATGTTTTCGCATTGATTTCAAATTTCAAATGCTTATTTTTTCATCTGAGAGATTCCTACTTAACTTATTTTTGAATCTGTAAAGAGGTTAAAACTGCTACATCGATTTTTTTTGATTAAAAAGAAATGTTTATCAAACTTTGAAAATTCTACCTCACCTCGAATAAAAAAACCTCAGCAGGACCAATGTCAGACAAATTTATATATGTTGGCCACAACGGTTCCAGCAGAATCCACGTCACACCGGGGCTAATGTCATTTCTGAGCTGGTCATTGTCACTCCTGTCCACAGACATTTCTCATTTTGCAAAATGTATTTTTTGACAACCGACCATTGATTTGTCCAGTGAGATTGTAGAGTTTTCGATCCCCAAATCGTAACTATCTGTAACTTTTTGCGGAGAGTATCATAAAGGTTGGATTAAGGAACTAACCGTCTACGTGGTTAGATTGAGAACACGAGATACAACCGGAAATGAACTTTCTTCTCGATGGAATTCAGCAAGGTTCGACTTTTCGTATCTTGACCCTATAGCAAAAATCAACGTCCAGGGAGACATGAGACCATCTTCGAAGCTACAACCATCATATTTCGACTGGTCTCATCCATCGGTTGGTGAAGACATGAACGCGTAGTACCTCAGCAGATCCAGATAATTCATGATATAATCTGTGGAGAAGTTAGAAACATGAACAAGTATTTTCTTCTTCCAAACATTGTTTCAGATCGACTCTCGATTTCTCTCCGGTGTTGAATACTCTGATTGACGGCTGCTTTCAACTTTGTTTTTGGCTTTCTCAGCGATCGTCTGAAAATAGAGAACATTGGAAATTGAAAATTGAGAAATATTGGCATTTTTTATTGTTAGAACTTCGGTAAAAACCATAACTTCAGAATAAAAAATTCAGCAATTCAGATAACTATTTTTCTCGTCTCCAAAGTTTCCGCTTCGTTTTGATCTTTTGATTTTCTACCATCTAAAACTATTCTGATTTCCTAAGCTTTTTTGGCTGAAAAAACCAAGAAACATCGTTCCCATTCCAACCGCCCCCGCTCGCAAAAAAGGAGTATAATTTGATTTGCACTATCACTATAAAAGAAGAGTCGGCCCCAGTACCAAATCATTCGAAATCGAATGTCGCCTTCTCTTCTTGTTCTCTGTCTCCTTGCTGGAACATCCTGGGCTTTCGTCCCAGATGATCCAGACTTCACAGGAATACGTTCCATCGGATATCCAAATGATGAGTTCTACCTCACTCGAAATGCCTTCGCTCCTTCCTCAGATACAGCTCAACAGGTCGTCGAGAAGTTCTTGGCTAGAATGACTCGATCATTGGAATCCAAAGATGTCGCAGTTATTGCCGGATTATTCCAGCCTGGATTTGTATTCAGAGGATGCAGGATCACTGCTACTAAAAGTGAGTGTTTAAGATTAGTCCTCAATCGGATGGTTATTAGAGAATCATCCCAGACTTTTGAGATTAATCCAAATAAAATCTTTAGATTTTTTGCAACATCAATCCAACCTTTAAACTCTTCCAGAAGAATATGTGAGTCGCTTGTTGGAAATTCCATCTGGAACCAAGCTCACATTCACACTCAAGTCTGTCCTTGATACCGGATCGTCGATCAAGTTCACTGTTCACGTCAGTGGATTCCATCCAGCTTCCATCGAAGCCAACTTCATCTTGAACAAACTCGATCAACAACTGGAACTAGGAGAGCTTTCGACTTGCTCACGTGGATTCCTAGGATTCTCCCAGCAAGAAAACTCGAATGATGTAGTTGAACGATTTTTGGAGCATGTGAAACAGGTCATGGCTTCACGTTCTTCAGCTCTCATTGGAAACCTACTTGACGAGGGATTCGTTTTCAAGATGTGTGAACCAAATCCAAAAAGTAAGTTTATTCAAACTTTTCTAGAAACTGTATTAGAAAATTAAGGCAAAGTCGTCGAATAGATCATCTCTTTTTTGTCATCCGGAGCCTTAATCGAATTCCCATTGATCGAGTCGAAATGGATCGATCAGGGACAAATCGAGTACACTGCCGAAGTGAATGTTACGATGATGGATCGTTTCAAAGCAATTTTCGTCTACCATCCACAGAGGAACGTTCTCATGTCAGGAAGAAGATATGGGTGTCCTTCCAAAAGATTCAATGTTTTCTATTGATTGAACTTTTGTGATAAATGAAGATTATGCATTCAAAAAGCTCGAGATTTTGCGAGAAACTGAGAAGAACTCAAAGAATATGGAAGAGAAACTTGAAAAATTAACTCCCAACCTTAACTAACAACCAGTCCTTGAGAACCATTCTCCAAAAAGTGGAAGTTCCTAGAAAACTATTTTTAAGTTTATAAGTCTATCGAACCTTTTTCTGTTTCTTTTATGTTTTAATTTTTGAAAAAAGAAAAGAAAGACTCACGCTAATCAAGTATGGGTGAAGACTACAACCGCAGATGATGAGTTGAAATTATCCACTCTCCTTTTTTCCTCCCAATTCATCCAGATAGTTGCATACGTTTTTTTTTCAGAGCTCATAAGCATGGTTCAGCAGTCTTCATTCAATCCAGTTGGTGAAAAATAGCATCAGAGCCGACAATCATCGTAGTTGTTGCATCTCATGTCAATAGGAACAGATACCTGTAAAAACAAATTTTAATGTCACAGCTGCCCAATACTCTATTCCTACCTGATATCTTGCTAGAATATCAGACCTTTCGAAATTTATCTTTCAAACAGTTCTTGCTGGGTCCTTTACTTTGAAGAACGATGTTATGGGGAAAGCGCCACATGTGGTGCCTATGATTCCTGGTCCTTGTGGGAATCATCTACGGTTCTGTGTTCTTCCTCATTTCATCAGGATAGCTGCATAATTGTTTTAGCGTTTCAAAGTGTAATTTTCGAATTATTCTCGCAGATTTCCGATGCCATTTACGCCTTTCCGTCCTTTCTCTTCTGTAAAATTATATCCAGTTAAAATTAGCATCAGAGGTTTCATTCAACGCCAAGTCTGTATGAAAACTTTTTTTTGCGCATACTTGTCGACGGGCCGATTCCGGGCCGACACGAGTCCTCTGATAGCTCGCTTCAACATTGAAATTACGAGCAAAACAGCATACCAGAACATAGAGCTTCGGAATCTCTACAACCTCTAATAAGAATCAACCGGCTCCGGACCAACACCCGGTAATTGATTTAAGTGCTGGTCGATTCGCATTGGAGGTTGTAGAAACTGCCTAGTTCTATCAAGTGGTATTTTGTTATGTCGACAAGTTCCATTTTGAAGCGAGTTATCAGCCGGTCTGTGTTCTGCCGGTCAACAAGTATGATTTTTAGCATCATTAATTGTGTTTGCTATGATTTTTGGTAGATACCTGAGACGTCTTTCTTTTTAGCAAAAAAAAACTCGCTAAACATTGCTATTTGCATGGCATCTTCTTGTGAAGTCATTTTTTCAATTCTTCTGCCGAACCGCCAAAGCAGCACGATCCATCGCCATTCATCGTTATCGCTGAAATTAAAAATAATTAGAAATTTGTTACTTGCTTACGTATGAAATTTCATTTTAAAAAAGTGTAAATTTCCTTAAACCGACTAGAAAAGCTCAATTTTTGAATAAAATAAAATTATTCCACGCGTTCCAGAAATGCGTCAACTTGACGCGTTCTTGGTGCGCGTACTCAGCCGACGTTGTATCTTGGTGAGTCACCAATGGTGACCGTGGATGGTGTGGTGTGTTGGAGAGGTGGTGGAGAGGAGAGAAGGGACCATTGCTGCTCAGTTGACCTAGATAAGAATCTTTGCGTGTGTAGAGAGAAGATACGCAGAGAATACGGCCGTATGAGCGGAGATTACACGATCAATCGTTTCTGTTGCAGAGACATTAGAGCCTCAATGATGTAAATGGTGTGGACGTGGAAAGGAGGGGTGATGGAGAGGGGGGAAGGACCATGAGTTGACCTAGATAAAATATGTACGTGTGTAGAGAGAATATACGCACATGAACGGCCGTAAGAGCTGGCATGAGATTAGACGACCAATTGGTGTTGTGAAAAATGCAGAAGGGAAACATCTCGTGTCTGTTGGCGATTGCCTATCTCACTAGAAAACCGTTAACCTTGGCAAGTTGAAAAATTGTATTGATGACAGGAATTGTTTTGTATCAGCAAAACTGTGAGCATTTTTATTCATTTCCTAGTATTTTACAGGATTTTTTTATTCATTTATCATAGATAAAAATCGTGAACAATTTAATTATCACTTAGGTTTATTAGGACGTTATTAGGATTACGACAGATAGATTCAATATACACTTTAAAAAAAATCTGTTACTTGTGAGGGAAGTCAGAGAGATTTTTTTAAACAAGCCGAGATGAGGAAAACAGCAAAATACAGAAAAATGCAATGTTGGTCTTCCAAATTGGGGCTTTGGAACATGACATTTGAAAATATGACTGTGTATAATCGTTTTGAAAAATATCATAAGAAAACAATCGATTCGCGGGGAGAAGCTGTAAAAATGAGATCACGAGAACTTCAATTATTGCCCAATTGACTAGAAAAACGTTCGAAAAGAATGAAAATTATTGAAAGTTCGAGCTGATTTCCGTACCATTCGAAATCATGAGGACAGAAAGATAAAGAAAAAATGGGGGAAATAAGTTTAACGATGACTTTAAAAAGCGGGGAAGAGTTTGGTAGTACAAGTTATCAAAAATTAAGACAATGTGAACATTTGAAAAAAATAATATTTTTAATGTGTGCAATAGAATGGGAAGAAGGACGAATGATGAAAAATAAAAAATAACAGGAGTATACAGTAAGCGTAGTAATAGAATGCCTCCGAACCGTCAACTTTGAGACCACATATCTCTTTTTCTGTGAAAGTTATCAAAAAATAGTCAACTGACAAAACGTTCATCAGAGTGTGTGTGAAAAACATTTTGTCAGTTAACCACTTTTTGATACCTTCTGTAGAAGCCGAGATAAATTGTTTCAAAGGTAAAAGTTAGGTAACTCATTCTGTTAGAATGTTTACAATTATCAGAAACCCAAAAATAAAAATAAGAACGAGCGGAGGAGATTTGAATATGTAAGGTGTAAATTTTTCATTTGTTGCATAATTGCTTGGAAAAAATTCCGGCCTTTGCTTTCTTTGCATTGGCATGTCCCCAGCGTGAACAGCAGTAGAACTTCCTCTTCCGTTCAATGTATTCCTCGTTGTAGCCAAAGACACAGCACACGTGGAACCACTTACCACAGTTGGTTCTTTCGCATTGTAGCTGAAAGATTGATTCTAATGTTACAAAATTCATATTGGATTAATACTGTATACACTTTAAAACCCCGCCAACTTCAACATCTTCAGACCGTCCACTTTGAGGCAATATATCTCATTTTCTGTAGAAGATATCAAAAATTAGTCAGCGGCTAAAATTCCTATTGAAACATCAAAAATGTTTTGTCCGTTGACTTCTTTATGATACCTATTACATGAACCGAGATAAATTATTTCAAAGCTAAAAGCTTTGGGGTCATTTAGGTAGAGTTTTTAGAATAAGGATTCTAGTGAACAAAATCAAACTTGTGCGTTCTAGTTCTCCTAGTTTTTATTCCTAGTCTAGTTTTCCTACTGGACCATTTTTACATACTGTACCCTACTGGACCAAGAGTTCTAATTCTTCAAAAACTAATATATTACACTCAACATACCCAGTTCAGAATCTCCTCGTTTGGAAACAATGTGTCTCTAATGCAATTCTCTTTGCCAAGTGAGCACTGACAATCTTCGACTGCCTGAAAAAATTGATTGGAATTCTCTCAAATATGTTTTTCGTCTCACATCGGTCACTTCTTTTTTCAGTTCTTTGCAGCATTTATTTTTCTCAGTTGCTGGAGTTGTTGGTTTTTTATGTTTCTGTAATATATTTTGTTGAAAAATTAGAGTTATAAAAACTTTTGTTTTGAATAGTGGTTTTACTCATTTCAGCCTAGAACAACTAGTCCTATTTATACTAACCTTTAGCGAAGATGGAACACAATACTTAGTGATTCCGTCTTTCTTTTCTTTCTTGATATTCTGAGATAGTTTCAGCCTTTTTGGAGCAGACGAAAAGAACAAGAGACTATCTCTTTGTTGGCGTGCGGCAGTTTTTCGAAGCGGTCTCCAGTTCATCTCGGCTACAAAACAGTCGAGTTGTATGTTTTTCATGTTGTCAATGTCCGAGCCTTCGTTGTCCATAAATAATTCTTTTTTCATCTTTGCAGTTTTCGCTGAATAGGTAGGAGCAGTGGAAGTTGATTCAACATGATCTTGAACATCGTAAGATATTTCGTTTTCAGCTGGATTGTTGCCGATTTTGCGAATTAGAGTCTTCGATTTAATTGGTCCGGTGTCTTTGACTTGATTTTCATAATCATCCGACTCAGAAGAAACGACTGGTGTTGAGATATCAACATCATCAAGGATTCTAGCAATGCTGAAATCTCTTCGAAATTCCTGGTAGCTGTTTGAATTATATTTTGGTTTCAGAAGCTTCTTAACGATATCTTTCATTTCAATGTCTTTTACTTCTTTCGGTAGTTGAAGCGTTGTTTCCGACTGATTGAATTCTTCAGGAGCTGTTGTTCCTGATATCATAAGCTTCAATTCCGGAGGTGTAGGTGGAGCAGTTGCCGCGGCGGTGGTTTCTATAACAATGAAAAAGATTTTCAGTTTTCTGTTTTTTTCTTATACCTTTCAAAGGCGGTTTTTTAAAGAAAATTCAATGTAGTTGTCCCTTGCCAGAAGAACAGTTTTGTTCAATATCTGCTGAACAAGAAACGAGTTGAGGAGAGCACTGTTTTCACTGGGATGTGATGGTTGCTGAGCTTTTGGCTGGTGACTTTTCTCAGTTTTGTCTCTTTTCCAACGAATGGCACATCCCATTTTTTTGAGAGACTGCCTCTCATAAACTTTTTGTCCGATTTTATCGACCATAGATTCCAATGAACTGATTGGCTTGTATTCTTTGGTTGGCGTTGGGACACTGACAGGTTTAGCAGACATTTTGAGCATTTCATCAAGAGGCGAGAGCATTTTTTTTTTGACCGACTTGGTGAAATTTCGAAATTATCTAAATACTTTTATCTGAAAATAATCGAAAAAATTGAGAAAAAACAAAACATTTCATATCGAAATAAGGGTGGCCCTAAATATTTGAAGCAACTGATTGTAAAAAAGGTTACGAATTTCAATCTTATGAAACTTTAATTTTTTCATTGAGCCCCTTTTGAATTAAAAAAGAAAAAATGTTATTGTCGAATTAAAAAAAGTGGGACCTGGACAATTTCGCGGGCGGTTCCCGGTCAATTTTCGAGGCCTTGCCCCAGAAACACTACGGTAGTGAACGAAACTTATTTCTGTGAATTTAGTGGGATTTTCTGAACAAAATTTAGAATTCTTGGTAGGAAAATGATCGCTAGCTTTAGAATCTGTTTTTCATCGAAAAACCGAACTTAATTGCGAAAGTAGCTCGAACGAGGCGAAAAACTGAAATATTACGTTTTTGCCCCACTTTTTCGTAGATCAAAAAAAGCTACGCCTTTCAAATTTTCAGGTCCCACTTTTTTTAATTCGACAATACATTATTTAACAAAATTAACAGAGTAGAATTTGATCAAAAAATAGGTAATTTTCTCAAAATTTTTAAAAAATTTCAGAATTTTCGAAAAAATTTCAAAAAAATCAGCGTCTGTACGAACCCCGGCCCGCCGAAATTCACGACGGGCCGACCGTCGGGCCGGCCTGAGATTCCGCAACTATGCTGTAAAATAGTTCGAGCATCTGAGGCTCTACTTCTCTTCTCAAAGGAATTAGTGTTCCGAGAACACGCGTCCTTTCAAAAAAATGAGAAAAATTGCATTTCAGTCAGTATAATCTACTCATTTGTTGTCAACACAGACAGGCGGTTTTTGAGGATTAGACAAGCGAACACAGCCTGCAGGAGAACTTGGAGTGGTTTTTTATAATAAGTGTTTCGGGCCAATTTGGACATTTCCAATGACGTTGGTTCCACGCAAGACAAAAGATGATAATGATTTCATGAAAACTAAAAAAAAACCCGTCACCGGAAACAAATCATTCCTTGATCCTGTCTGACAGCTAACCTTTTTTCGACGTTATTTTAGATTGGCCGAAAAGAGGAAGATTTATGGTACACTTGAACTGTCTAGCGAGATCTGACGTCATCTTCACCTATCTAGCCTCACTTCAGGTTTTATAAATCAGGCTAGAATGGAAAATTAGTCTGGAACAAAAAAGAAAAAAAAACGAAAAAAGGTGGTGAAGAAATAATGGCTGATTTCAGATATTGTGAAACCTTTGAGATAAATTAACAGAACTTATCAAAAAAAAGAGAGCTTGGGAAAATGAGTAAGGAAAATGAGTTGAATTTTGGAATAATTCTATTTTTTTTTGAATTTCTGAATTGCTTAATTTTTGGAATTCCCAAAAATCAGAATTTTGGAATTTTCGGGGTTTTCTGTTGATTGTTTTTTTTCCAATATTGATGAGAGTAGGAGGAGAAAATGCCATAAACTGGTATAACAAATCGCTTAAAAACTAAAAATGATATATTCGAAGAAGTCATGAAAAGTAAGATCGTATTTTTTCACGTGGAACAGACAACTGAAATTCAGAAAAATCTGACTCCCGAAATATACTACTTGAAGTATGAAGACTCAGAGCTTAAGAGAAATCAAGAATGAATGACGTCGAGCAGTAAAAAACTGAAGGATGTTGAGTGTGACACAGGATCCTACACGAAATTTTCGAAAAATCCGGTCGAGGCGAGTTTAAAGATGGATCACTGCTCATTACTCATAAGGACTCAATTCGAGAAAAAAAAGAAAAAAAATTGGGAGACTAGCTAAAATGACGAGAGGTTAAAATTGGTAGATGAGAGATAGATTACTACTCATTGCTCAAGAAACCTAGAGAAGGCATAGACAGATGAAGAATTATGAGCAATCGCCTAAAATGGGCGTGGTCTCGGGATTTTAGCTTGGCTGAGTAACTCAGAAGAGGAGCGCGCTCTCAGAAGAGAAAAAAAAGCAAAAGGACGTTTAGACGATTTGAATTGGAATATACCAAAAAATTAGTTTTGGATTGACACATGTAAATAGAAAAACTAAATAGGGTAGAATTCGAAAAAAATAAGACATTTATAAAAAATTAAAATCAGAAGTTTTGGACTCCCAAGTTTTTTTTAAAGCAGAAAGCCGGATACCAAAAAACTCGAACTGAAAACTTATTCAGTGAACAATGATCATTTTTACAATTCTGAAAATGTATTCATTCTATACTTGCACTTTAAACTTGATTATCTCAATTTATATATGAGACATGAAAAATGTTTCAACTGATAATTTACTAATCACAATGCCTCCAATATTTTACCAGTTGTCATATTTTTGATATCTCTCATAGAAATTGAGATAATTGAACTCAAAGTTCAAGAATAGTAGAGTGTTTACGGTATGCTGAACATTCCGAAAAATTGATGTAAAGAAAACCTTGAATAATAAAGAACCTTGAACACTGTTATTTTGCTAAGTTGAATTTTCAAAAAAATAATTTTAAACTTCGAAGATAATGCTCTGGTTTTGTTTATTATGCTCTGAAATTTTCAGACAAATTGAAAGATTGTGGACTTCTTTTTTAGGATTCCAATGTCTAAAAATAATTACTTTTCCTGTTTATACAATTTCAGTTAATCCCTAAGTGTTTGTGACTATGAAGAATTTCAAAATTCTATTCAACAAAATTCTTACGTAACACATGTAACCACTTTTAGTTTGAAATATGTCCTTTGTCGGAACATTTCTACCGAAAAAGCTCGAAAAAAGAAAACAAACTGCACTTCTTTTGATGTAATCTACCCACCATTCACTTTTGCCGTTGTTGAACCTAGTCATTTTTCATTTTCCCTGGTTTCGAGACCCAAAAATACTCTAGGCACAAAAAATCGGTCCCCAATATTTTTTTCAAAATTCCTAAAGCAAGATTTCGGCGGTAGAAAACAATCATGTCAAAAGCTGTCAAAAAAATGAATTCTATTCTTCTGAATTCAAGATGACTTAGGTTGCGTGTATGAAACAATTGAGTGATTAAATTTCTGTCACAATGAGGACTCATCGAAAATGCTGAAAACACAAAATTCAATATGGCAAAAAATTTGAGGTCAAGATGTAATCACCAATTCTAAATTATGCAGAAATAACTTGCAAATATTTTCTCAGAAAAAAAGAGCATTCTAAAAAATATGAAGATGGGTGAGCTCTCTCATTTTAGAATTGAAGTGGCATTAGCTTCCTCCGCAGACGAAAAAAATGAAGGAAATTGCTAGATGAGATGTAATGATTTGTTATACTCTTCGTTTCTAAAAAAGAAAGAATAGGAGAAAGATGAACTCTGTATTTAGCAAACGAAAGGGGGTGCTAGAAACACATTTTTTGCATCAAAAAACTATGAAAAATTTAGGCCGAGGTATACGGTAGCCGATATTTGGAAAACAAGTTTTTTTGATAATCTGACTTGAATTTCGATAATCAAATTTTTGTGTTTGTTTTGTGCACTATACAATCCTAAATCAAAATCTTGAGTTTCACGAGCAAATGTCTAGAAAAATGTATAGAGGCTGAAACTGGGATGTTGATTTTTCGACTTTGAAAGTTAATTTCAGCTTTCGAGTGAAATTACTCTTCTTATTTTTTTCGGTGTCAAATAAAGTTTGTATTTTCATCGCTTTCTTGTCTTGGAAAAATGGGATTCCGAAAACCAAAAAATTCGGAAATCTTCAAAATCGGAATATTTCGATTGCCCGAAATTCCGAAAATTAAAAAAAAATCTAATATTCTGAAATTCTGAAATTCCCAAAATTTCAAAATAGGAATATCCCAAACTCCGAAGTTTTCAAATTCCGAATTATCCGAATTTCAGAAATTTGCGACATTTCAAAAAGATTGAAATGAAACCATTCCTGAAACGATTAATGCAATTCCTGAAACGATTGATGCAAAATAATTTTAAAAAATAAATGCATTCAATAAAACATTTTTTCAAATTGAACTTTAGCAAATAACAAGAACAACATGGAGAGAGAGATAAAAAATTAATTCCGGCAAATTTAATCGATTGTAGTGTAACGTAACTAACAAATATGAAAAAAAGTGAGAAGAAGATGACTGATCGCTTAGAGAAAGTAGCAAAATGAAAAGAGGATGTACAAACATATTGTTAAAAGATTATTCTCCAATCATAAGAAACTAGAAAAAATTGGGAGAAAAATAAGGTAATCTAGGCATCTGAAATGTTTTCAGAAAGAGGGAAAGAGGTAAAATGGCTCTTTAAAGCAAATTATTGAAATTGAATTGTCAAAAAAATACGATTGCTAGTGCTAGTAAACTACATTTCAGAATTACAAACATTGGAGGAAAATAAGTTAAAAAAAACGAAAACAAGGAAAAAGTGAATCTAACTTTTGTGCCGATTTTGCATGTTCATTTCGTGCCGCATTTTGTTCATTCCTGATATTGATTGAATTGCAGCTTGGTCTGGATGCTCTCCGCAGCAATAAAATACGTCTTCTGTCCATTTCTGATTATCCAACCGAAGGCAAAAAACATGCCACCATTTTCCGCACAAATCACATCGAACCTGTAAAATTGATAATGAATAGCATAACTTTGCTGAATATTGGATGGAACTCAAAAAAGTCACTACAAAATATAGCTTACCCATTGTGCGTTATTGACCTCTCCAAGGCAATTTTTGTTGAAGTGTTGGCAATCATTTTTTGTAGAATCTGCTTCAGTGTAATCTTCGTCATCGTATTCAATTTTTATTTTTTTCTTCTCGTTTTCAAATTTCTCCCAATTTGCTGATTTCCTTGGTCTTCCCCGCTGTCTCTTATTCGGCGTTTCGAATCCCTGAAAAATGATAATTAAAACATCATTATCTGTATAATAAAATTTTTTGAAGAGATTTAAGTTTTTTCTAAAGACTATGAAAATTCAAACTCCTAAGACGTCTGGTTAAAAATCTATAACTAAAAAAAAAAAACTAGAAATAAGCAGACTCATTGAAATTTAGACTATAAAATAAAAACATTTTTGATGAAAAGTGGCATTTACTAAATTAAAAAAAAAGGAATCTGTTGAAAGACTTGATACATTCCATCAGAAAAAGAAATTTGCCAATATTGACAGTGGATGGGCCTTGTTCATTTTTTCTTGAAAACTCACTTTTGGTTCTGACACTTTCTGTTGTTGGGTGTCTATTTCCATCAAATCGTCGCCAATTTGAGATACATCACACTTCTGCGGGAAACTTTGGAATACATTGGAAGTTGCTCGAGTAAGTTCTGAGTTGAGAGGTAGAGCAAAATTGTGGTTCTCATCCTGTGACGTCTTTCTCTTTTTATGAATCTCGGTGCCCGACGGCAATAAAGCTCTTTTCGTCGATTTTCTTTCTTCTGGTGAATTGTAGACAACTGCGTCGTCATCGTCCGTCAAACCAGTTCGCGGAATATGTATACGGGGAATTCGGATTACCAAGCTCTCTGAAATTTTAACAATAAACATGTCTAATTTGAATTGTTTTATATTTTACCTCGTCTGAGACCCGGATTCCCATCGAAATTACTTAAAGGTGACACATCATATGTTTCCTCAGGAAGATTATTTGTCAAACATTGTTGGCTCGAATCCTCAGAAATATTTGGGCTTGCTGATACAGCTTCTTGTTGTAATGACGATACTGGTGACATCATCTCCTCTTCTTGACTGTCGGTGTTTACAGAGCTAGGCTCTTGGAGTCTCGATGAACTTGTGGTTTCTGTAAAGAGGAAAAACTTGGAGGAAATAAAGGTGTTCTCTGATAACCTCCAAGAAGGTTGTTTTGAGAATTTCCATGATTTTGGTTAGCTGTAAGCCCAACATTAGCTGAAACGTGAACTGATGATGCCAGACCTATTCTCGATTCTGGAATTAAAAACAAGCTTTTGAGTCACTGAAAATGAAAAAGTACCATGATGTTCATTTGAAGAAGCATTAAAAGCTGGAGAGGTGCCAGAAGTTGATGTATGCGCGCCTTGTAATAAGCTGGTGATACTGTGCAATACAGTTGAATCGCTGGCATTGAAAATAGTATTAGTTTCGATCGGATTCTTAGAGAATTGCGATTCTGGAGGTGATTTCATTGCAGCAAGCTCATTGATTTCTGACATCTGTTGCCCATTTTGTGAAATGATTGGGATGAAATCTGAAAAACAAACTACAGATCAAATTGCATTTGTTTGTTATTACTTCCAACTCCTCCATCAGAAGGTGTAGCAGATATTGGTGGGGAAACATCCTGTCCAACTGATGTCTCTTGATTGTATAAAAACTGAGGATTAAACCCGGGGAATGGGAGAAATCTCAGTTGGAAATTTCTGAGTAAATCAAGTTGGTCTAAATGTTGGAGACTCGTAAAAACGTTTTGAGGTTGTTGGAAACTTGTAGAAGGATTGTTGAGGATCGATGACAAGAATTGACTTCTTCCCAACAGACCATTCATACTCGGATTAAGAGCGACTGGTTGTGGTGTGCATTCTGAAAATTGCATCTCCCGGAAATTGTTGTATTAGTTATTATTAAAATAACGAAAAGCCTACAGTACCGGTTGATGAGATATACAAAAACGTCTTTTAAGTTGACTTGTGACCACTTTCGTCATTTTGCCATTCTGAAGCTCAGCTGTCAAGTTTCCGATCACTACTCAGCTCTACACCTACCAAATGTTTCAAAGTGATCTGAAACTTGACAGCAGAGCTCCAAACTTCTAAAAACGAATATTAAACTTCTAAAAACAAACTTCTAAAAACGAATATTTCCTCTAATAAAAGCCCACCTCTAATAGAAACCCACCCTTTGACGTGCTTAAAAACATAGAAGCCCACTTTTTAACGTAAGTTCATGCAGCTCAGGTCGTGCAGTTCGTCTTTTCGGTTATTGGAGGGATTTTTTTTCCTAATTAAAACCTTTCTTAATAATTTCAGCTTTTGATAATTTCTTTAGAAGGAGGTTGAAAAATAGAAGCCTGTGGGCTTCAATTAGAAGAATTACAGTAGCTAAAAATAAACTAAAAATAGTTTTTGTCTATATTTTAATTGGTATTGTAACGTAAAAACTGCCGGGACTTAGAAAACTTAGAAACCCAATTATCTCAGTTTCTAAAAAAGATAGCAAAAATCTGTCAACTGATAATTTTTTTGCCATAATATCAGTAACAGTTTATCAATTGAAACATTTTTGATATCTATTATAGCAATTAAGATAATTGAGCTTGAAGTCAACCTTTTATTTGAGTTTTTACTGTATACGGTAGAACCTAGCGTTTTAATAAATAGTACCTGGAGATGGTTCCCGTGAAACACTAGCACTGCTGTCTCCATTTCTAGTAGTATTCCTCTCTGAAAAAGATTTGATTGGAAAATACATCACTTTTCGTGTTACTCACTTCTTTCAGGGAATAAACTCAACACGTTTTGCGATTTACACGCGATTTCACAGACTCTCCTCACGCCATACTGATCCGAATTCATCAACCAGTGATCTGAAAATTATGCAGTTTTTAGTTTACATAAAAGAATGTTTTTCAAAATCACCTTTTGCTTCCTGTAGCAATTTTCGATCGACAATCACATTCTCCGATCCAAAGTATGCCTTGATCTTCAAAGGATGGTTTTGGAATTTTGGAACGTCGAACGTGTACCGACGACGGATTACCCCATCTTGGAAGTAAAGACTTATCCGCTGATAAGATAACTTCAATGAGAAAAGCGGCATTTCCTCATTTCTCGACGTGTTGGTTCTTTGTAGAGCAAAAATCATCTCGATCGGACTCATTATATGGATGAAAAACATTTTCTTCGATTGCTTTCCCAGCGTTTCCTTTATCTGCCACGTTCTTCTTCTCGAGGCTTCAGAAATATAGCTCCTCAAGCTCATTCGGTTATCCTTCGTCAGCACGGCTTTGATGTCAAATTTTCTGTTTGTGTTTTGGATCCACGTCTTGCTAGTATAACCGTCATCCGTTTGAATGGTTATTTTACTTTCCTGATCCAGCTGGTTTTCCGGCAAAAATGAGACACGAGGGCCCAGAATGAATTGTCCCTTGCCGATTCTTTGAATTGAAGTCGAGTGACCATCATCGGTTGATCTGTCACCTATTCCGGAAACTTGAAGAAGAGCTGGGCCGTCAGCAGATGGAGTGATTTGATGATCGTTAACGCCATTAATCATCAATCCAGGAAACGCCGGATTCAGATAACTGGGAATTTGTTGAGATTCTGAAATGTATCAGGTAAGTTAGCGCTACATAACCATGTGCATGAATGTGTCTTCTAAAAATTTGTGGAGATTTCATAGTTTCTTTTCCAAAAGTTCGAAAATTCCGTTTTTGTTAAATTCAAAAGATTCCGTAAATTCCACTTTCTTAATATTCGGATAATTCCTAAATTCCGAAATTCAGATTTTTTTCAAATTTAAAAGTCTCGACTTTTCAGATTTTGGACTGTTACGTAAATTCATTTTTTTTTTTTGAAATTTAGGATAATTTGAAATTCCGAACTATTAATTGTTTTATTTTGTAATTCAATCCGAAATTCCAAAATTTGAAGTATGTAAAATTGGCGAATTGCGATTTTTGTTCATTCGAAATATTACGGAGTTTCGAAGTTCCGATTTTTTCAAAATTTGAAAAAAATCTTCCGTATTTCTTAAATTTCAATTTTTCAAGATTCAGATGTTTCGGAAATTCTGATTTTCGAATTTTGGTTTATCTCGAAATTCTGTTTTTTATTTCAAAATTCGGATGATACTGAAATTCTGAAATTTCAATAATCCAAGTTCTCATACCAAATTCTCAGATTCCAACAATATTTTTGATTGTTTCGAGTATGGCGCGAGGTGGTACGTGGCTCACTTTTTATGAGGCCATTACAAAAGTAAGGGAACGGGAAAATGACAAATAACTCGTGTGAGCCTGAATGTGTTTTATGACAAATATTCCAAAAGGTCAGTACGGGATACTGTAGAATTTTCTATTCAAAAAGGATCTTTCAACAACCTACAAAGTTTTGATTTTAGAAATCTGAATCATCCAGAGGTTCCAAATCTCCAATTTTTGAATATTGGATAACTTCGAAAATTCAAAAGTCGGTTTTTTGATATTCCGGAGTTTCAACTTCTTAGAATTCAGAAAATTCAGAAGATCAAATTTTTAAAAATCTGAATACTTTGAAAATCCGAAATTTCAAAATTGTTTTGACTTCCTTATTGTAATTTTCAAAATTTCTCTATTTGAGGGATAAGCTTTTTGAGAATTAAAAAATTACCCGGCTTCAAATATTGGTTCCTTCTTGCTTCTCCCATAACCACAGCTGCTGGTGCACCTGTTCCAAATCCAAAAGGTGCGAGCATCATCAACAAAGGATTGGGAGGCGGCACAGCGCCAGTGGCAGGGTTCATCATAATTGTCGGTGTTTGTTTGAAGTTTTTCAATTGACGATGAAATTAAGCTTGTCTGAAATTTTATTGAAAATTTGCAAAATCTTGAAAAAAAATTTTCGTAAAAAACAACAAAAAAGAAACAAAAAATTCTGAATTTTTGAAAAAAATTTATTCAAAGATTCTTCATCTGGCCAGGCTGTAAGTTTTAATGGTCTAGGTTTTCTACAAAAAAGGACCCGTTGCAAATATGACTTTTTTCCGAAAAATTCCTAAAATTCTGACCATGTCGAAGGCACATGCGAAAAGAAAAAAGAAAAAAAAAAAAGCAAAGTTTTGTGAAGAAATTCCAAAGCTCCGAAATCCCAACATTTTCCAAATCGGGTTACCCCGAAATTCCGAAATTCTGAATTTCTCTAAATCGGAAGATTCTGGATTTGGGAAATTTAAATGACATTCCGGAAAACTCCGAAAAGGTTCCGAACATCCCCTGGCAAATTTCGAAAAAAATATTTAGAAACCTATAATTTTTGCACTGGTCTGCTCATTTTTCGAAAAATATTCTCTCTTAAGCTACCCTAGTTCCAAAAAAACTGTTTTCAAGAAAAAAAACTTTGAAAGGGAACCTCCCTAACAAAATAAATCACCCAAGTTTTCTCGTTACCGGGATTAATGATACTTATATTGTACCACCCAGGTGCGAGGAACAGAAAAAAAATTGTTTGAAAAAGAACGAAGAGAGGACTAATGACAGGTGCATTGCTCATTAATCTTTCAATTATGTTATTGGAAATTTAAAAAAAATGAAAAGGACACAGAGAAATTTCTGCCAAAAAACAATTTTGTATAAATGTGCAGTGAGGTAAAAAGAGATTAGTACACAAAAATAGGATGAGAAGATTGCATATTAGTGGATTTTTGGAAGAAAGAAGAGAATTTAGAACACCATTATTTGGAGAAAATAAAGAGGATGAGTATTTTATACTCTATGTGTGTGGGATGATCGTAGACATGTTGATACACTACAAATGATTCTGAAATTTGAAGTCTATAAACTTCAGCCCCCACTCTTCTTGATATATGGGAGGGTAATTTTAAAGCAACTCCGGGCATTCCAAGTTGGACATAATAAAATCCCACGCAGGTTTTACGGCACCCTACTCCGATCATTGAAATTAGGAAAAAACGTTTTTGGTTTGTTGAACTGAAGGGGGATTGAAATTAGCTCCAAACCCAGAAGGAGGTTACGGAAATAGAAATTCACTGAAATTTCAAAAATTTAAATATCCCATACAAAGTTTATTTTTAAAAATTCGAAAGTTTAGAAAATAGCCTTTTTTCAAAATATCCAGTTATCAGAATTCTGGAGTTCTTAACAATGTTAAAGCCGGCCGATGGTTCCGACGGTGTTGCTATAATTTGGAATCTTTTTTTTTATTGAAATAATCTCCAAAGTTTCATTTCGAGAATTTTCGGAAGTTTTGGAGAGGTAACATTTTTAACTCCCTTAAAATTTTAATTTTTTTTCAGAAATTAAATTTTTACTGTGCTAAAGACATTTGGAAAATGGGAAAAATAAGAATTTGAAATAATGATAAAAATCCAAAAAATAGAAGATTCCAGAAAAAAAAATTGATGAGAAACTTTTACGAGGCGATTACAAAAGTGAAGGGAAGGGAAAATGACCATTCAAGGGTTATAACTCGTGGGAGCCTATGTTAATGCATTTTATGACCACTATTAGAAAAAGGCACGACTGGATACTGTAGAATACTGTATACAAACAATAGTTGAAGAATTTTATATTATTCCGATGCCATTTACATGTAAAGATTTCGAAAAAAAGTAGAAAAAACCCCAAAAAGAGTCAGGATATCACCCCTTAATTTCCGGCTTAAGGGGCCCTAGTCACCAAGGCGACCATGTGGAAAAAAAACAAGTATAAAACAAAAGAGGGCTTGTAGAAATATCCCATAACACAAATTCCCAGATTTTTGGGTGTCCGGAGCATAGCCAAAACGACGCTCCGCCCCATTACGCTCTTTTTTGGACGCCGCCTATTTTTATGTCTCTGCTCATCGTCTATCCCCATAGCACAAGTAGGTTTCGCTGTTCAGTTGTGAATATAAAAAAGAAATGTGTGCCGAGAAATCTAACCATTGAAAAAAAAAATCAAGGTTAACTTTCGGAATCGGAAGGTGAAGTACGAAAAAGAAAGGGTCGGTCCAAATTGATAAACAAATTGAAAAATCACTGCGTGAAAATTGAGTCTAACGAAAAGTTTATATTTCAAACTTGAATTACAAACAGGACAGTTCCTAGAGATGTAGTGGTTCTGAATTCCATATTTTGTATTCCGTTTGCAGGAAAGTGAGTCAAGACTCCGCCTACTCCGGCAGCCAGTGGCTAATTTTTTTATTGAGGGTGTCTTCATTAGCATATCATGTTACTATCTATGAACACGCTCTTGGCATCTTCCCGTCGAGTTCCTGTGCTCATCGTAAATTAAAAGAGTGTCATAAAATCGACGGAGTCAATCAAAGAGAGTTTACGCGTGTCTCCTTTTCCCGCCAGACGTCTTTTTTATACGTCTACAAAAAAGAGCTGGCTGTCTCGAAGCGGCACTCTTGGCAGTATTATGTTCTCCCTTTTTGATTAAAAAAGGTTTGAAAAATTTAACCTGGAATTTCGAGAACATTATTTTTTTTTCATGTCCCCCCACCTTTAAAAAACTCTTCTCAAAAATGTATCAAACAAATTTTTTTTTGATAAATTTCGACCAAAAAACATACTCATCCCGGCCGGGTCTTCAACGATTTTCGCAAGTATGTAACTGCTCTTTTTACCGGCTCAATTGGTTTTTAATCAGCAATTAGTATTATTGCGGTTGTGTTTGATGCGCGGTTCTGGGTTGCCTTTATTATGAGGTGGAAAAAAATTTGAAAAGTAGAATATAGGAACCATAACAAATTTAAAAAATCTATTGATGTTTACCAAAAAAATTGGGGGGGGGGGGGTAATACTGTGAGATGAAATAGACAAAGGGCAAAACTGAACATTGCAGATTTTTTGCACAATAGTATGAAGAAAAATTCGAATTTTGGGAACAGACTCCAAAAAGGGAGCAAAATAAACGAGGGGACTGGAGAAGGACTGGGCAGGTGTGAAAGGAGGAAGATAGTTTCGATGTAGGATAATCAACTGGGAAGTAATAGATATCAGGTTAATCGAGAAGTTTATTCTTTCTGGCCTGTTCCTTCTGGATCTGAAGCCACTTTTTCTTAGTCGTCCCTTCTAGTGAATCTTGCGCTTTCTTGGAGTATTCTCCATGGCAGCAATGAAATGCATTTTTGTACGCCTTAATTTCAAGGCGGATACAAAACGCGTGCCACCACTTGTGGCATGTGTCGCATTCCATCTGTAAATAGTTACAGTAGAATGAATTTGTTCCGCTATAGTTTAGGTTTTGTAGATCTTTACTTACCCACAGATCATCAGTCGTCCCATTTCCGATCAGACAGTTGGGATTGAATGAGGGGCACCAGTTCGACTGAAATAATATTCAAATTTGGGTTTGAATATTCTATATTCAAGCACTAGAGGTTCAAAAATCCGAAAACTCACCCGATCTTCATTGTCTTCTTTAGAATGATGATCTTCTTCAGATGATGTTGCATCCACAACTGGTGGCTTTTTTTCGCTGTTCTCGGTCTGATGGGCTTTCGAATATTTTGAGTAACACCGACACTCTTCCTTCTTCGTTTTTTTTCACTTTTTCATACAAAGAATCGGATGACGAACTGGACCATCGTTTACGGGATGATGAGCCACGCTCATCTTCCTCACTTTCCTCATCTGAATCTGGAGTTTGAGCCAGTTTCTTCTTTTTATCAAAGTTCCTCGAGTGTGGTAGACCCTCTTTCTGTGAAGAAACCGTCTTGGTCTTAAGCGATTCGTGAGCAGCGACCCTTCTCTCTGGTTCTTCTTGTCTGTCTGCCCTTTTTTGTACGATAACAGCAATTTCCTTCTTTTCTACTTGTTCCTTGATTTGCTGGAGATTTGAAGGCAAAAGCAATTTTTCTGGATTATGAGCATCTTTAACAGGTTTTTTCTGATCAACTGCTTGGTTTCGCTGTTGCACAAGTGCTAGTAAAACTTTGGTCATATCCTCATTTTGAATGAGACGAGAAGGAGACTGTTCTGGATGACTTGTCAGTTCTCCTGGGTTAACTGCTTTCCTGGCTGGCTCTTCGGATTTTTTCAGATTTATTTGTGGGGCGAAACCTGCTGAATCTCTGTCTCCTTGTAGGTCATCCATTCGGGGCTTTTGAATCTTCACCTGCTCTTCAACAGAAGAGACATCAGGGGAAGGGACGGGCGAGCGGGCTGGTGTTTCATTCACCACATCGATTTCTTCTTCACCTTCATCTTCAATTTGCCCTTCAGCAAGTAATTCTGAAATACATAGAATTCAAAAACAGGCTAACTGGAATACACATACCTCCAGTATGTGGTGCAAGTGTAACATGTGACGAAGTTCTTGAATCCACTGATGGGTTTTTGAAAGCATTCGCATCTGGAGATGAAGTCGAATTTTGATTCAAAGATTGTAGCCTTCCAGAACTTTCTTCGTTGGTGGGGGACGAAGAATTATCACTATTCCCTGTAAATTTTTCACCGTAAAACCAGTAATATATAGATCAGCTTTTCATCTGATATTTTTGTGCCAATTTATCACATTTCCTGTAAAGGATATAAAGAATGCGTCAACTGATAAAATGTTTTCGATTATATGGTCAACAATTTTTCAGTTGACAACTTTTTCATGTCCTTGACAAGAACAGTTATATTAGGTTGGCAATTAAGTCTTTGTGCACTTCTGTTTTCCTCTTTTCTCTCAACTAAGCTAGAACAATAATATGTGTGTAACCGGATATGGTATATAAGATGATAAGGTTATTCACAATAACCATCATTTGCCCTGCTCTCATTCCGTTTGCGAACGAGATGCCCCTTTTGATACCCACTGTTTTTGGGTGAAATTCCTGTTTGATGACGTCTACTGGCTGTTTATCGAAGTCAAGACATTGGGCTTTTCTGTGATGGTTAGTATGTATGACTCTCTTCTTATCTAACAAGGAAAGTGTTTTCAGACACCGGTTGAGAATTTGTTGAAAATTTGAACAAGTATACAATATGAGCCCCTGAACATGGTGTCATTTTTTGTTTTTCCAACTCGGCCTTCAGAAGCTGAAAATTTGCGTCTGAAATTTTAACATGCTTTTAGGCGCCTTTCCCCCTTTCTTATATTCATTCAGTAAAGAGGAGAGAGCAGCGAGAAGTGGTGTAGCGGTGAGGAGGGACGGACGTGTCTGACAAGGGTCAGGTTCGATACCCCTCTCCAGAATCTTTTTAGTTGTTTTTTTCTGAACCTCTGGAAGTCTCAATAAGTTGCATAAATTTTTTTCGAAATTTTTTTAATCCAGATTGTCATTTATTTGGAAAATATCATTATTTTTGATAAAATTCGAAAATAACTGGTAGATGTTCTGGAAAACTTCTGGAAGCCCCACTTTCAAGTCTTCGCTAGTCGAATTGGTAGTCTGATTTCCCTAGATTGTCTCATTTCTGCCTTGGAAAAAAGCAATATAAATCAGAAACTATTCAATTCATAACTATTTGAGTTCTTCTCGTCAATTTTCGAAGTCTACGATCCATTGAAGTTTCTAAAGAAATCCCTTATTTGTGATTTCGAGAGGTATTCAGGCTATCACATCTTGTGAAAATACGCATTTCATCATTTATCTACGTTTGGAACTCATTTTAGCTCATTTTGAAAATTTTCGAAAAATTGTAAAAATTGCCAAAGGGGTACCCCATGCGACATTTTTTCAAAAAAAATTTTTTTTGAAAAATGAGGAAACTTTCTCAGATTGTAGAGCAACATTTAAAAGTACGATTTACATACAAAAAACGTCGAAGAACTGTTATTAACCCTTTCAAAAATTCACTCCAAACATGAGAAATTAGCACTGATTTCACTTAAACAGCCCATAACTTATTTCACAGGGCCGATTTGGAAAAATTGACTTCAGTTCTGTGATGAGCGTGCCCAAAAGTACCAATGACAAAAGTTTGAACAAATTCTCAACCGTTGTCTGAAAAGACTTCCCTTGTAAGGTGATAATATAATTCAGCCGCTTAAAGTTCCGGAGTAGAGTAAGGAGTTGCATGCTCATGTTCATTTGCCGCTGAACCACAAAATCGGTCAAACTTTACAACGGTTTCTCTATGGGGACACTGTCTTTGTAAACTTCCATCAGGCTGTAATAAATATAGGATACTTTCAGGTTAGAAATAAATGTAAACAATATACAGAAATTTCACCCAAAAAAAGTCGGTTTGAAAAGAGGAATCCTGTTCGCAAGCGGAATAAGAGCAGGCCAAATTATGGTTATTGTGAATAACCTTATCATCTTATATGTATACCATATCCTGTTACACACATGTTACTTTTCCAGCTCAGTTAAGAGAAACAAGGAAAACAAAAGTGCACAAAGATTTAGTTGCCAACCTAATAATTGAACACAAAATTAAAAGTTAGGGGTCCTTTATATTACAGCTTTTACGCTCTATGAACACAAACGTTTGGTGCAAGTAACAGCGGGTTTGTGCAGTGCTAAATGTTTTATAGTGCTTTTGTGAATAAATACCATGAAATAAACAAAATTTTCAGTTCTAAATCGTGCTGAAAGAATGCAAGTGAACGGAAAAAGACAGAACAACAAAAAGGGAAGAACAGTATTAAAGGTGCATTACAAATTGTGGAACAAGGCTGATACAGTTTCTAAGGTGTGTTGATTTACCAGCTGAAGCAAATAAGTTGTTCCGAGAAGAGCTGACTGTTGAATTTGTGTTTAGTGTCGGTTCTGGAAAGGTTATGATTTTCTAAAAGTCAGTGATTAGTACCTGTTGAACCTGAGTTGGATGATGTTGTTGGGGTGACCTCTTTCGGTACAGAACAGGCGGGACTTCCCATAAAGTTTACTGAAAAATTTTTGCTTTTGATTTTAATCAGATATAGATTTTTTGACCTGGAAACAAGGATGGTTTGATTTTCAACTTGATAACAAGTGGATCCGTGTTTGAAGGAACAACGAAGGTCGTTTTGGTAGGAAAAGTGAGTGAATCAAGTGTACCCGAGCCGTTGAAGAGTATGCACAGATTTTGCCCTATCAGAGAAATAGTTATCAATGGCACAGACACCCCCAGATGAATCGGTTTGAGGAAGTGTGTTAAGCTGTGGTTGAAACCACCCGAGATGGACAGAAATAATTCAGAAGAGCTTAATTTTTCCTTGATACTTGCGTTCCAAACATCTTGTTCTTTCAAGAACAGATTACCTAAAAACACGATCAACCGAACACGGAATAACTTCTTAATCAAACCTGTCAATGCATTCGAAATATTTTCATGTTTGAAGCGATTTGCAGATATATTCAACTCTCCTTCTGCGTTGAAAGACATTGATAAGTACACGGAGATGTTCGAGCAATGCACCCAGCTGTGAGTTGTATTTTCATCTTTTGTGTCGATGATGAGCTGGTGTTTTTTGAGTGCCACAGTTTCACATGATGTTTCAGCACTGGAAAGAGAAAAGAAGCCAGATAGAGAATCTCTGTTGGTCTGATTGCGAACCTCTGAAACTATTATCAGTTGTCAAACATTCTCGATTAGGTTTTTCTTGTAATTGGGCATCCGAAAAATTGCGCCAAGTTCAAAGTTTGACTTTTTTTTTGAATTACCAAAACCCTTTTCATTTCTTGAAGGGTCCGACCAAAGAACATCAATTCTGCTCGATTAACATTTGAATTTCCAGAAAATTCTCCGAAAACGCAAAGCATCTTATTTTAGGTACGAAACTAACCTGGCATTTCATCAGTTGCTCTGCTGGTACCAGTGAACCCATCATCAACGGGACCAGGTGCTCCGGAAGAGGACATTGTCTTTGTTTCTGAAACGAAGAATACTGAAGATTCTCACCAAAGAAACACGATGTTTTCAACAAAGGATGAAACAACTCTTTTCCTCCTTTCGGAATGTTGTGGTTTTATGAAAGATTTTTAGCGCAAAGAAGTTGATACCAGACAGAAAAACAAATTTTGAGGCTTGGAGCATTACAACTCGTGGTTTATAAAATAAACTCTCCAGTGTTTTGGTTTCCCTCGCAGGCAATTAGTAGTTGCCAGGTTAATCCTAGTTTTGTGTCTCAATCGACGTCATTGTTTTTTCCTTTGCTCCTTATCAGGGTGTCTGCTGCTCTTTCGTGGGAAAAGTGTAAACATTATTTACACTTCAAGGAATTCAAACTTGAGAAAAATTTTTGTTGCAAGAATACTATACTCAGTGAAGGCAGATGTAGAGAATCGTATCTTTGCATCACACACGATGAAAAAAAAATTGACAACGATCTATTTTTAACTCAAAGCGCGTAGGTTTTACTACAAAACATGTGTCAGATTATGATGAATGCTACGAAATATTGATGCAGACTTTTTTTGATTTCTATTTTTTTAGAACTCCCACAGAAGAATGGAGCTCAGTTTAAAAAGGGTTCATAAAGTTTTCGGAGTTTGTTTTGGGTTACGGTAGGTATGTAGTTTGACGTGAAGGTGTACAGTGACTAGTGCTCGTTTCCTATATGACATCGGACGGCGGAGCAAATTTCCTCGTCCTGGCTCAGCGACACTTCCAGTAGTGAGCTCACAAGTTCAACTTCTCGAGGAGCTTACATGAATAAAATTTGGAGAACTACAATTATTTTATCCCCCCCCCCCTCTCTTTTAAGAAGAAATCAAAATGAAGAAATAGATGGAAGCTGACGAAAAGTGGAAAGAAAGAAATCTGACTAAAAACAGAAAAGGTAAACAAAATGAACTAAAATTGAGAAAAACTTCAAGAAACAGGTGTGGGCAAAAAAAAAGAGACGCGGATGAGAGAGTAAAATAGCAAGCACTCATTTCTCAAATCACAATTGGACGCAGTGCTCTTTTTTCCAAACGAAGAAAAATATGTGACCTGTCACGAGGGTGGTGTGTTGATGGATGAATCGTATAGTAGTGCATATTTCGCAAATTGAAGATGAAAACCTAAAATGGTAATGAGTCAAATAGATGACGTGGACCAGCGAGAAGAAGACCAGGTTTTTTGAAGACTTTTTTCTTTTGCGGGACCAACATTTTGAGATCCGGTTTTTTCAGAAAGTTACTTTTTCACTGAAGTAAGGATTTCAGTCAGTAGAATTTTAAACCTGAAATGATCTATAATTTTTTACATAGTAACACTTTTTTGCAATAAAAAAATTATTCTGAAACCGGGATTTCAGTTCAAAACCATGCATTTTCTTTTTATTAATATAATCCAGAGATGAAACACACAATTCAGAGAGCATATTAAATGTAAAAAAATTTGAAAATTAGTGAAGATGATCAGAAGAATATTTTGAGATCATAAAGTTTAGGTAGAGCAATAAATTTTGAGGGATTGAGGAGGCGATAACTGAAAATAGTAGAGAACAGATGATAGTATACTAATGAATGGACAGGTTCTGATTGGTGAGATGTGGAACTAGCAAACATGCATAACTATCAGTGAAAATTTTGGGAATATATTAGAAAAATTGATTGTAAGAAGATTACAAAAAGTACGAAAATGACAGTTCAGTGCTCGATGAAAAAAATTTTAATGACAATTTGGGAATGGACGAGAAATCAAAGAATAACCATTACGGAACACATCAGAACCGGTACAAGGCTCTCCAGCGTCTGGCCGTTTGTCCACGTACTGCGCGGGTGACATCTTTGGATTTTCGTTCACCACAGCACCGCAGCTTCTTTTTCTTCTGTTCGGACCACTCAACGTTCTCTCCAGTGACACATACAGTATGCCACATTTGACCACAAATCCGACAGTTCACCTGAAAACAAAAAATCATTTATTATAGTTTTTATGACTGCAAATTTCATCTGTTGAAAAAATTAAAGGTGTATTATTACGTGGAAGCGTTCACCATTACTCGACTTGAATTTTCAAACTTATTTCAATACGCTTTAGCTAACTAATAAGAAAATAATCCCAAATACCGTACTTCCTCTAATAGAAGCCTACCCAGAAAGTCAACATTAAGCTTAATTTTTTCGATTCAAGTGGAAAACATCAAACATTTGTCAACTATTAAATTTGTTATCATAACATTTCCAAATGTTTGTTGTTGAACTTTTTTGATATACTTTACAAAGATTGAGATATATAAGAGCTCAAATTTGACGGGTTGGTGGTAGAGGAAATACAGTAGTTTTAAAACAAATCATTGACGAAAACCAGTAAACTAGTAAATGTTAATTATTTGACTCACTCGGAATAGATATTGCCCCATCAACATTTTTTCCAAGCAATGGGACTGGGAGACACCACATTTATCATTCTTTCTGCTGCTCATCGCATTATAATCTCTTGCATTATATTCGCAAGCTGATGATTCACTCTCAGAATAGTTTGAATCACTCGAATCCTCACTATCGGATAATTTCTCAGTTTCATTGATCAATTGCTGTAACAAACTATATGGAAAAATAGCGAATACATTTGCTAACCTTATCTGCTCCCAAACGAATCTTTTTCGGGACTGTTTCTAGCGGGGTATCTGCGTTGATTCGTTTTCTTCTTTCTTCCGTTTCTTTCAACAGCTTCTCCAGTACTTTTTGTAAATCAGGTGATTTGTCTACTGACAATAATCTTGCCTGTTCTAAATCGAGAATTCCCACATATCTCGATGTATTAGAACTGTCTGAAAACAAATAATTGTGAGAAATTTTGCAGAAAAATATACTTTACCGTCGGCCAGTAGGTTTCCTTCTATTAGTGCTGCAGTATTTATTCCTAGTTGAGCGGCAATCTTGGATTCCTTGCCACGGTGGTGACTGGCTCCAACTACCAATTGAGTCTCAGAACATTCTTTATGTTCTGATTTATTTCCATTGTTTCGACTTTCATTTCGCAAAACTGCATCTGGAACTTTTCATTTTTCAATTACCATAAACACTCTGATAGAGTGCCACTTAGCTTGTCAACTTTGAGCCCGTATATCTCTATTTTTTGTGCAAGATATCAAGAAGTGGTCAACTGATAAAATGTTTATCATAACTTCAAAAATATTTCATCTGTTTACCACTTTTCGGTGTCTTTCGCAGAAGTCGAGACAATTGAGGTAAAAGTTAGCGGGTCGAGTGACTCTCTATAAGAGTGTTTACAGAAAAAAATGTTTGATAACTCACTGTTTCCTGCAGTCATTGACTTTCCATTCGGTTGTTTTGCTGGAGCATTTTTCTGGTCAGTGTTTTCAGAAACTATCTGCGCCGTCCCCATTGAGTTGTTATCATTTTTTGATTGCATATCCACATATTTAGGTGAGAGAATAGCTGTGATTTGAAATTCTCCAGTTGCCGGGGTGTCAAATTTGATACTGGATAAAGGACACCATCTCTGAGTTATCTCTTCATCCTCGTTTCCACCATTTCTCATAGATAGTTTTCGGTCTTCCAAGGAGAATGAAAAAAGCGAAATCGGCTTTTCCGAATTTTCAAACTTTCCAATGAGAGGCGACATGTAGTTATATTCAATAATTCCGCTGATTGTGATCGTGAGGCATTGAGAATCCGCATTGTAGGTATTTTTGATAGCCCATTTGTTGCCGGCAGGAGGATCGTTGGTAGTTTGCTCGGGTGGTGTATGACAAGCCTGAATTTCCAAGAATCCCTGTTCATTGATGACGGCCAAGAAGAGGAACTTGGAGTCTCGGATATGTGTCCAATTTTGGAATTGGCTTCCGGAAGCGGTGCGGAACTCGAATTCACAAGAGAATTTAGTCCTTTTCAGGAGTTCGTCAATCATCATCGAGTTGAAAATATGATTGTTTTGTTTAGAAAGAATGGATTCATCATTTGTGTCTGCTTCTTGGTCCACTTCAGCGACTCTGTTTTCACCGTAATCTATTCCAGCATCTGGAAATTTGCTAGAAATTGTCTCAAAAATACTAGAAATAGTTTCAATAGAAGACCCGGAAAATGGAGTAAGGAACAAATTTGTGAAGGATTTTGGCGAAATTTTAAGTAGTATTATAGATTATAAGTAGATAACATTTTAAAAATTTTGTATTAAAAATTGCAAGAAACGTCCGAAGAATGTGAAGAATTGGGAAGACAGAAAAACATTTCACACACCTGAGAATTGGATTTTGATTCCATTATTTTCTGGTGCGGCGATTCTTGGATTATCTAGGATCGCTTCGACTGAGACTGCGTCCGTAGCTGCATGTTGTGGAGATCTGGTACCTTGAGAGATGCTTTCAAAATTACCAACGGAAGCATGCAACTGCTGTGGACTTGTCACTGGAGTTCTAGGAAACTCAATTGAATAAGGTACAAGATTTGGCATGGATCCTTCTCGAATTCGACGGTCTTCAAAATTAGAATCACTGCTCTGTGCATCTTGCGCCGCAATAGGAGAGAATATTTGTGCCAGTTGGCGTTCTAGTCTAGATTCTTGCATATCTTGGTCGGAAATCATAAGTTTTGCGATTTTCCTGCCTCCTGAAAATTAACGATGTTCAATAAAATCGGATTCATCTTGATTTCTATGCAAGATATCAGAAATCTGCAAACTAATAAAATATTTTTGATATTGCGATGAACAATTTGTCTGTTGCCAACATTTTCATATTTTTAGCAAAAACCAAGATAAAGCTGCTGATAGTTAAAAGGATCTTCTATTATAGGTCTTACCTATGTCAAATAAATCAAAGTTTGACACTTACCTAGATTCAACCCATCTGGAGGGTCCTGAACACTGTTTGCCGACGGACTGGAGATCAGCGAATGAGCATCCGGAAATTGTTGAGATGTCCCAAACGGGTTCAATAAATTCCAAGGATTTCCTTGAAGAAAGTTGCTCGTGTTGATCATATTATGGGGCATCATTGCTGGGAGTGGCTGACCAGCTCCTGGGGCAATTATGGGATTTATAAAGACATTAGATAATGTGCGTTGTGGTGCGTTAGCCATCCGGAAACCAAAGGCGTTGTTCATTACCTCATTGCTCGGAAAGAAGGGAACAAGTTGGTTTGCTTGTTGTGGTTGGGTGCTGAGATAACGAGAGATATCAGAGGTATCCATAATAATAACCCGCTGTTTGAGAATTCTGAAAAATATTGTTTCAAAAAATAACAAGACGGGAAACGTTGAGTTAGGGTAGATTAAATATAAAATGAAAGAGAGCAAAAAATACCAGAAACTGAATAAAATTAACTAATAAGGATCCTTGTCACAAAATACGCAACAAGTCTGAATAAATCATTAGACTTCGATACTGCCGGATGAAAATTAAACATAAAAACAAATAACGGGGAAGCAAAGAAAGCGAGACTATTCCGCTGAAATGTCATGAGAAATTGCAATATTTTCATTTCATTCTTTTGCAGTTCTAATTTGTTTTTCATAATATTTGACAGTTTCTACAAATCCCTAGAGAAAACTGAAAGAAATTACCGCAGAAAATGAGGGACTCGGAAAAGTAAATTGCGAAATCCTATTTTTGCGTTACAGTGACATTTTTTCAAGTGTGTCTCTGTTTTGTAATGAGAAAAGAAAATGAAACTGTATCGATGATTATGAGAACAAATCTTGCTGAAAATCTTAAAATTGAAATAAGGAAATTACGGGGGAAAACTTATGAAAAAAGAGATTTTGAGCATTCAAGTGGAAAACGCGAAATTTTGAATTACAAATTGAAAAGAACAAATCTCTGATATATTTTTCTGATTTTACAAGGGAACCTCAACACCTTGTGAACCGAAACTGCCAAAAATTGACAACCAATCTTCCTATTTAGGGTGCTCTAATTAGAGTACCATGTTGCTATCTAGAAGATCTAACATCCCTAAATACGGCTTTCTTTACATCGTCTCAATTTCCTTAATCTAAGCAATTTTTCGGGTTTTTGCGCTCATCGTAAATCAAAAGAGAGGTCATAAAATTGATAGAGTCAATCGAAGAGAATTCGCACGTCTCCTTCTCTGTTTAGGAGTTTATACAATGTGGTAAATGCTGGGTGTCTCAAGGCGACCCCATTTTTTACTGGCAAGTCTATGTTCTTACTTTTTGATTAAAAGAAGTGAAAAAAGTTCGCACTTGACAACCATCTTTCGGAAAATCGAGTCACATAAGCGCGAAGAAACTCAGAGAAACAAAGAAAAAGTCGTATAAATGAAATTCGGAAAAGTGTGCAAAACAACCTCAAAACTGAGAAAATATGAGTTGTATAATCCTAAATAAAAAGTATAGTGAGAGTGATACTCTCAACACATGATCTCCATTTGTTGACTCATTTAACCTTTTGGTCCAATTATGTGGACCCGTCTAGGTATCCTCCAGGGGCCGGTAGAGGATCATGAGGATACGGAGAGGGCTCCAATTTGGAAGAGTACAAAGAGAAAGCATTTAGTCGGGAGCACCATTATCTTGATTTAAGATGATTTTGAAGCTGTCAAATTCAGATTTGAAGCTAACATTTTTGGTGAAGATAAATTTCATCGAAAGAAGTTGAGAAAAAAGCAATCAGCAATAAGAATAAAAAAGTTGAGTAAAAAAAACCAAAAAAAAAAACGATATTATTTTTCACCCCTTAGCAACCAATTAGGCAATTACTCGGAAAAAAGTGAATCACTACTAAAATCATTTACTTTCAACCTTTCAAACTTCGAAATCACACCCAAAAAAATATTTTTCGGGTTTGCATGTCGACAGGAAATGATGCGAGGCACAAAAACGGGGAAGCGGCGGACGGTGGAAAACGAAAAGCACCAAATCAGGATTAAGAAAAATGAGACCGGCGCAAATTTCCACCAGGTGGTACCGTTTATGAGATGAGAGCCCCCGAGAGGTGGACTATAGTAAACAGATTCAGAATTGGATCCAGGGATAATTGCAATGTTTCTTTTCGAAATTTCTCAGAGATTCGCTTTGGAATTTTAAAATTTATTTTTTCTATCACAGAAAATGGTGAAAGATTGATAAAGGAGATTTCGAAAACGCGAAAATTTGGAAATTTTTTGCGTGCACCTTGGATATACCCTAATTCAAAAAGCTGAAATTTCAAAAAATCGGACATATTCCTGGAAATTTCGAAATTCCGAACTAGATTTTCGACAAGGCGGAATCTAAAAATCGAAACTGGAAAAACTGAAAGAACCTTTTTGATAAGGAAAAGATCCTACTGTTCCCACGTATCTGAAAGTTTTTTTTTCTGAAAGCTGTTTCTAAGAGAAAAGTCTCACGCTCTTTTTAAATCTAGATACTCAATTATATTGAAACTAAAGCTCCTTAAAACATTTATTATTTAACAAAAACTCAATGTTACAAAAAAAAGTGCCATGAAAAATAACAAGTTCAATAAAGACATGTCAGGGAAAGAACACATTTGATAAAGTTTTTTCAGTGAAAACTTTGGAAAGATCGGAAGGGGACTAGAACGTTGGAAACATTTGAATCAAGAAGAAAACAAAAAACAATGACTATGAATTTGATAGAAACTTGCGTGAAAATTTTTTCAAGAGAAATTGAAAGAATTCGAGGATTCTATATTATGAAAATAGGAAAAATCATGTGAAATGTGTAGAAAATTGAAAATTATGACAACACAAAAAACTATGAGACGGATCGAAAGTTATATAACTAAATTGGTGAGAAAAAGCTTGGAGAATCAGGCTTTCAAAATATTAAAAATTGAAACAAACGAAAAACTTGAATACAGATAGAAAATTGAATAAATAACTGTAGGGGAGAAGCTGGAGATTCAGAGGTTTTCAAGATAAATAAGAATGAGAGGGTGGGGAATACTGAGATAAAAAAGTTTGTTCAAATCTTACTTGGGGAAACGTCACGGATGAATAAGTTTTTTTTTTTTGGATTTTTGGATGTAATATTCAGAAAAGGGATTAGGTGAAACGAAACTGAAGGAAACACATTTCTAGGAAAGAAAATGAGAATGCTGGTAGTTCGAAAAAAAGCTTGAGCAAAGGATATGAAAAATTGAGGAAAATATGATCTGATGAATCTATTATTCAACAATAAACAGGAACGCGGGTTGAAGATGAAGATTTCATCTTACGGGGGTTTGGGACCGACCAATATTTGTTGAAAACGACTCCTTTTTTAGCGGCGAGCGCCATTCCAGCGGATGGGTGGTTGCAACAAAAGAATGCCTTCTGGTATTCTCTGTTTGACTGGGTCAAGCAGAAGACATGGTACCACTGAGCGCAACTGAGGCATTGCACCTGAAATATTGTTTGTTCTAGCTCGATAGTCTCGAATTTTGCATAATGAAGAAAAGTTAACCATACTAACCCAGTGGGCCTGCTTCTGTGGATCCGCAATACAAAAGTCTCCGGTGCCACATTTGTTCTTCGCTGCCTGAGCATCGTCTTCCTGAAAATAAAAAAAAAAATTTGAATTAATTGTGAAGTTCGGTTTTTAAAATCTGTGAGAATTTTTCAAAAATATGGCATTCAGTTTTCCCGTCAAAATCAATAGTTTTTTGCTACAAAAATTTCGAAGTTTCAACTCACCTCATCGTCCTCGATTTCCATTTTTATTTGCTTAGCTGGAATGAGTTTCGCCGCTTCTGCTTCTCTTTGTGCAGCACGTCTGAGACGACGCGCGTCTCGGGCCACCTGCTCCGGTGTCCTCAAGTCCTCGATTGTGACGTTTTCTGGAGGAGAAGTCACATCGGACCCCAGAACCGCGCGTATCAGGCATGGTCCATTTTTCAATTTGAAGACAATCGTTTTCTTCTGCTTGTTGGAGCCGAGATTTCGTCCAGAGAGCTTAGAAATTTCTGAAACAGTATGATTTTTATAGATTCTCAAAAAAAATTTATTCACCTTCGGAGGCTGCTGGTGGGGTTAAAGCGGAGCCTGGCATCTCCGAAGAATCTTCGAGCTCTTTTTTTATATTTTCCGAAACCACCTTGATTTTTTTGTTCTGCTCGGATTCTTCACCTTCTTCAATTTTCCGTTTTGGGGCAACAACTCCCTCAGATGGAGTTTCTTTCTCGAGAACCGTTGATATTGAGAGATTCTTTTGGTTTTTCTTCGAGCTCTTTCTTTCTTCAGATGATCTTTTCGGAATATCAACTTCATAATTTGGAATCTCTACCGAATGTTCAGAAGGCAGCTCAACTAGAGATGACAGTTGTGAGAGCTGAACCAACGATGGAACAACCGCGTAGGCGTTTTCTTCAAGTCCTGGTGAAGGTGGAACCGGATTGTCATCGTGCACATTTCCTTGGTTTTCAAGTTCCCGAAGAAGATGTGCATGGAGAATCTGACTTCTTTGTGTTTTCTGATTGTTTTCAATGACATCCTTCACAGATAGGAGCGACGACAGGCTGAATTCTGAATCGCTTATTGCTTCTTCCGACGTTTCAGCGACCGATAGACGCTCATCCTGCGCATCGCCTTGGTGATTTTCCAGTTGCTGGAGAGCTGCAGTCGGATTGTTTTGCGGCGTTTGCGGGGCCATTCCTTGAAAATTTTGAACGGGAGGAAGAAAATTAAGATATTGGTTTTGAAGAACTTGTTGTTGAATGAATAGATATTGAACCATTAATTGATTGTGAATTTCTGGATATTGTTGGTGATTAGCTCCCAAATTGTGAGCCAGTTGAAACATCGGTGTAGTGAAATTTTCGTTGAACCCGAATAGATCTGCAGCTTGATTCGGATCAAATTGATTGGCCATCCTATCTGCTTCTGGAATTTTTTTTCTTAAAACTATTTAAATTTTGTTGCTACTTACCTTTTTTCTTAGATGCCACCGAAAACAAGAAAGTTGGATACTTTAAATTTGCACGGACTGTTGCTTAAAAACCGTAACGAAGCGGGAAGAAATCTGGAACGAGAGCAATTTAAAGAAATGCTGTACAGATATCTACAAAAAAGAAATTTATAAAAGACGTAAAGCCAATATTTTGGAGAGCGGAAAAAAGACAGATTGGAAGGCAAATCCAGAATTTCGTGCTTATTAGAAATGATAAAGATAATGAACGCTGTTTCTACGAAAAAAAACCTTATAGAAATAATTTTGGAACTAGAATTTTTTCATAATTTGAAATCCAAACTTTTAGCTTGCTTTTAAAAATATCAAAACTGCAAAAAAAAATATTTCTTAAATAATTCAGATGTTTTTTCTTATCATTCGGAAGTTTCTTATCATTCGATATTTAAAATCCAGTCCGATTAAAAATTTTTTGAAAATAAATAAAATTTCATTTGAAAACAATTCGAAACAAAAGGTCATATGCTAGTTTTCAACTTGTCAGTATATTAAAATACGGATAATGGGTAAAACCACAATTTGTAATTTCAAAAAAAAAAATTCCTATTTCGAACAGCTGTGTTCCCTTTTCAGGGACACCGACAGATGTCATTTTATATTATTCTTCTCCATTCGTAACAAATTTGGGGCGCGCGAACGAAAAAGAAGGGCACGTCACCTTGAAAGGGGTTCTAATGAGAAACAAGAAAAGGATTATGGATAAAAATGAGAGGACGAATCTCGAGTGAGCCCTTTTCTCATCAAATTTGTAGGAAGTGTGACGCGCCGAAACCAGAATGCGGCCACCGACGTTTCTCTTCCACAGCTCTTTGTATAAAAGTAATGAGAAAGTTCGCGGACGAAAGAATGTAGGAACGAATTTTATTACGACTCTGAAAATAAAAAGTACTAATATTTCATCAAAGTGCAATGCAGTCATTTATATTCAGAACAATTTTGTTTTTGCACTGAGCATGTTTCAATTCGGTTTGTTGAAAACCGAAATACATAAATCTGATAAGTCGATTCACAAAAAGTAGTTTTAATCCTAGTTTTCCTATCTTGGCTACATTTTCGATACTAGACGGAATCAGAACGGAAATTGAATTTTTAAGTCCCAACATTCTTCTGAACGCGAGTCTATCCAAAACATTGCTCTCCCAGATTTTATGAAGCGATAGAAAAGTCGAAATGTCATTCCGCAGCACATTAAAACATGCGCAAAAAAGAAACCATGGCAACAAAGCGTCTCATGGAAAATTGGGAATGTATATAATTCGTATATGAACCTATATTCTCTTTTTAATAATAGCAAACAAATATTGGGAGGAGATAAAGGGATGAATGGGAGGAAGAAGAAAGAAAAAGGAACTTCGTATTAAAGAGTGTACAAAATACTATCACATGAGCTACCGGTCGAAAAGTGGCGGTTTCCAAATGTTTTCTCTCATTTTAAAATACAATCTCTGAGTTTTTTGTAACGCTCTATAAACTATTTTGCAAAAAATATAGCAACTAGAAAAAAAATGAGACAAAAGGTAAAAGCTAGCTGATGAGAAACTGAAGAGATTTAAATTTGAATAAAACTACTCAATTCAGAGGGCTCTCTACTCTAGACAGGACGACAAAGAAAGTCTTCTGTGCGCAGCTCGAAACTTTTTTATAAAGTAAGAACGACTTTTTAGGTTCCGGAGAGGCGCTCGTGGGAAGGTGATAAGGTATATCGCTATAGATGTTCCGCATGATCCGTGTTCCCATAGAATGTAAAGAAAAATAGTTTTTTAGGTTTATCGTGCCCATCTCAGGGAAAACCAGATGGAAAAATGGATGTATGAACTTCCAAAAGCCAACCAGTTCAATCGTTACACTGATAAACTATTCTAGAACATACTGTCTCATTAAAGCGAAAACTGATATCATGAAGAAGCTTTCATAACTTTCTGCAAACCGAACTTAACCGATCCCTTCAGCCCAAAATCGATGAGAAGCTTTGAAAGCTTAACACCTAGAATGAATATACAGAAAACGTTTAAGAAACAATAAAATACGCGCAATCAGTTGCAACTCAGGAATTGTCCATAAAATTTTAAGTAGTTTGGTACCAACTTTCTCTAACTCAGACTACTGTCGAAGAATACGAAATGGTCCGAGAGAAAGATGAGCAGAAACGTATCTAGCGAGCGAACCATGACGGGGGCGGAGCGATGAGGTCATAAGGGAGGAGCAATATCTATTGCGCAATACTGGCCTGATGTTGTTAGAACATCGCTGGGAAGTTATTCCTTACCCGTAGAAGTGGACCAACCTAAAGTGGGTGAAAAAATGGGGTAGATGAAAAAAAAATTAGTTTAAAAAATGGTACGGTATTCCATTTAACCATTTTTTTTCTATTGAAACAAGTTGTTTTAAACAATGATCGATTTCGTCTATGTGCTCCCATGGCTTCCTTCACACTTAAATAATCTGTACTTTAAGATGAGTACATATAAGAAGGATAGAAAAAGAGCAAGTCTAGAGTTATAGCAGACAAATGATTACATTCTAAAACGGATGAATCCGTTCGCCTGGAAAATCGGAAGAAAAAAGATCAACGGAGCACAAGCAGTTGTAATTCCCGGCTCTTCAACAAAGTTGGAACCTGTTCATAAAAACTCATTTCAAATTTCAACAACTGTCGGATAACACAAGATGACCGAAAGAAGAGACTCCGAGGAACGGGTGAAGAGTAAATAGCTATAAATACATAATAAGATGTATTGGTGAGTGATGCACACAAGACAGGAGAGAACATCAGTGAGAAAGTTCATGAGATGGGTTTATAACTCCTAAATAGTATCAGAATGAAAAAAAAACCGCTGTTTGAGCTTTTCGAATGACATTGATTTCTGAGAGCATAAAAAATTTGGTAAAGTTTCTCTCAGTTTTCGGAAAAAAAATGTTTCAGAATTCGAAAACTTTATAGTTCTCGAAGATGCCAACATTGCAAAAATTGGAAATAAATAAGAGATAGGTATACTTCTTTTCTTCATTTTTTCTCGAACACATACCAATACCTAGACCATTCTCGCAGTTTATCAACAACTACATCTTACGGGTAAAACCGGTTTAGTTATGTGAAATGAAACTCTGTCGCCGAAATTTGTTGGGGTTCTAATTGAGAAAAAAAAGAGAAAATGAAAAAAGATAAACGAAAATATCCAATGTGGTTTCTTTCACCTTTTCTTTCAAAAAAAAAAGAATTTAGAAAGATACTGCAAAAAGATGCTAATCGGGGTAGGTTTAATTGAAACACCAAAGACAACGACACAAATTTTTTAAAAGAACTAGGTTCTTAAATTTCAAAAAAATTTACGTAAGAGATTAAACCCGACGAACCTTGAGAACGATATGCCATCTTGAATGAAAAAAAAAGAGATTGATGAGAAGAGAATGAAAAGAGAATGATGACCACCTCGTCTAAATTGAAAAAAAAATGGGAAAACGGCAAGGGATAAAATGAAAAAAGAGAAATGAAAATCCAAACAGATTTTTTTGGTAAATCAATGGAGAATTACAAGAAACCCCGTAAAATCAGATGATTGAGCTCAAATTTTAAACGTAGGGTAGACTACGGTATATGAATTTTGCCCTCAATTAAGAAATTACACGAATTAGTGAAGTCGTGCAGGAACTTATGCTGAAATCCAAGATGGACACGCGAAAGTTAATTAGTATGAATCCTCTAAAAAAGCCAATTTTCGTGCTGGCTGTCAATCCATCTTCTGTCACTCCAGTCATTTTACTTGCCCTTCTTCTTTTTTTAGATTCTTTTGTCACAAGAACAATCTGTCGAGACATCCCCTCTCTTCTTCCTAAAAAATTGATGGGGATCTCTATACATGCACATGAGCTGAATGGCTGAACTCGCGTCTTTAAGCAAACGCGCTCTACTGACAAATGCGTACTGGTGCAAAGCAGAAATATTCAAATTTGAAACTGGGTTTGCAGAATTTCATTTTCCCAGTTTTTCGGCTGTCAAGTTATGGAATAAAGGAGGTTAGATCCGTTTATGATAAATGAACAGAAAAGGAATACCGTAATCTCCGCGTGTTGGTCCAACTGGTCAGTTGCGCAATCCCGATTATTCCTCGCTTATTGCCCTCTGACGTAGATACAGGAGGCGAGGAGAAGAGTGTGCTCCTTCCCTTCCGATGTGGTGTCAACGTGCCTCTCACACTTATAAGTCCATCGCCACAATAGATTCTTCTCTGCTCGTCCTTTTCTCGGAGGGGGTGGTCATTCTGTATTCTACGACAGTAGCATTAGCTAGGAGCAAGCTTCAAACTTCCTGAACGAGGCGTGAGTTGAAACTGATTGCTTTTAGATATATTTTTTCTCTTTGTTCTTTAAAATCCCTATGTTTGCAATAACTCTGGACTGTTCCTTCTCTTTTCTAGTATGAAATTATATATTTGGAGCCTTATAAGGTCAGTATAGGTTAACCTTTTTCGAACACTGTTTTGAGTTTGGGACGATATGGCGATATACCGTACCCATCCTTTGCCTCTCCGGAACCAGGTTTAACCATATTTAACTCACAACTCCCATTTTTCCAATCATCTCATCAATACGGAAAATCTACTTTTGTCGACAGTGATCATATTTTTCAAATTTTACACAAATTTCGCCAACTTTGGGAATCATGTGATTTTCTCAAAAAATATTTATCATTTCAAACATATTTATGGTATGTGAAAATTAGAGTTGTGGAAGAGCAAGTCTAGTTGCCATGGCCGAGTTACCAAAGTTAGCAAAAACTTTAATTTTCGATTCAGAAAATAGCTTTCTTTTCGATTCAGAAAATAGCTTTCCACTTCCACATTTATTTTTTTTATCAGAATTATCATTTGAAATAACTGTGAAAGTTTCAATATGTCTTCAGCTTCTCGAGGTTTCTCAAGCTTGAGCTCCAAGTTTTGAACAAAACTATTAAAGTGTCCCATAAAGAGGATGATGCTAAATTAATAACCTAGAAAAAATCCAATTTTCAATACATTATTCTGACTGATTACTCTCACCCAAAACATTCCTCAATTCATGTCATATTACTCGGAAAACAGTACGCTCTCTTGATATGGTATGCTCTCTGAGCAGCAGACGGCACCAGAACACTCCCTAAAGGTCAATCTTCGACCAGATGACCCCACTTTTATTTCCCCAACAGAACTTGTATCCAAAGCGAGAAAACGCCTGTTGCGTAATACGATACCTGTCACCCTAATGAAGGTGTGACGAGCAGAAGGAAGGATACATAACAATCACAATTGGAAAGGGAAAGAGCGATGTGTGTTCATCTAATAATATGATTTAGGAGGGAGAGTTACAAAAAAAACTACAATGTTAATACATTTATGAGCGCGGTGAAGTATTCACTATAAAACAAATAGAGTCGAATCTTTTTTAATAACTTTATCAAAATTATGTCCTCAATAGCCTATCCAAATAAATTTATTCGAGAAGAAGAAAATACAAATCCAGAATATACAAAAACAGCGGAAAAATACTCTCTATAGAAAACAAAACATGTAAACTGGGAATACAAAACTGGGAAGGGGCGGGATTTACAGAAGTCAAATTTGTTTACCGAAATATGAGAAAAAAGTGTTTCATTGCAAAAACACAGGAGTCAGTGGGGGGGGGGGGGGGGGATTTTTGGTTGAATTACAACGAGAAGTGATGAGAAAAAAGTTATACAAAAAATAGAACTGTTTATTGGAAGCCAGATTCATTTATTTTTATAATCGTAGTATTTGAACTCGCCTTTCCGTTTTTTGACATCCCCCACCGCTGGACGACGTCCCTTTTTGAATCCGTGGAACTTTCTGAATGTACGTCCCATTTTCGCTCTCGCAAATTCGCTTCCATCAACTACTGCGTTGCAGCAGTCAAGGACGTCGCCAGTATCCTCGTTTGTGTATTTCTCATTTTTCATTTTCAAGCAGAAAACGTGATACCAGCGAGGACAGTGCGAGCACCCGATCTGAAGTAAAAAAGAGATCACTTTTAACGATTTGAATGTTTTTAATTTTTCATTTCTTGGTATAGTGGTGCCAAAATATAGTCCCACAACAAAAATTACAGTAACTTTAGTGTATTTTGGTTTTGACTAGTTTTCGGCCAATTTTCCCCAAAAAAGTGCCGTTGTGTGTCCTTTGGCCACGGCCAAAGATCCGATTTTTTGTACCAGCATAAAATTTCAAAAAGAAAAAAACTTACCCATTCAAGAGTTACCTCCTCTGCTGGCGATCGGGTGAAGCAGTATTTTTGGAGAGCACATCGAACACCACATTCCTGAAATGTTTTCAAGTTCTTAATACAAAACTCTAGGCTCTAACTAAGTATTTTACATTTAATTTCAAATATCTTACCTCATATGAGGTATCACTCGTCGACGGTTCTTCATCGCTAATAACTTCATCTTCCTCTTGAGCAACGACATCTTCAGATTTGGCGCGGCAACTTCTTTTGGGTCTAGGGGCGTCGAATGAAGGACTACGCAGTCTCTCCGGGCTTACTTCTTTCTTGACTTTTCTTGGCCTACCTCTTTTCACTGGAAGCGCATCTAAAAAATAGGCTCATTTTCTAGTCACACTACAAAATATAAACCTTCAGCACGCTTCTTGTTCTTGTGCACTTTTTTGGCCTTTTTAGATGCAGATTGACTTGTACTCGTGTCCTGATCATCGTCTACCATATTGTTGTCTAAAATTGGAATCGGCTGGCTTGAATCTCTTGACGTCAGTTTCAAGTCCTCCTCCTCTTCTTCTTCTTCTTCTTCCTTATCTCCATCACTTTTTAACATCTCCATTTGGATGTTCTGTCCTGAGGTGTGGTCGACATCTTGACTGATCTCTTGAACATCATTAGTTTTTTCTTCTTCTTGCTCTTCCATTGCTATTCCTAAAAAATATAATTTTGATGAATACTGTAAAAATTCAATTGCCTTCCGTGGCTACCGGTAGGCTCGGAGCAGAGTCCACCATAGAAATGGAAAATTCATTGCCTTCCGTGGCTCCCAGTGGGGTCGGAGCTGAGTCTATTCCAATAGGTGGGGTCGGAGCAAAGGCTTTCTCATAAGTGGACGATTCATCCGGAGAAGCAGCTGTTCCGTGCTCGATCTTCATCTCTTCGGAATTCATCGCTGTCTCCAGAGTGTCTCCATGACTCTCCTCATTTCTTGGCGCCTCCGCAGCTTTTTCCAAAACTGGAGTTGAGCTGCTCGAGCGATCTACGCCTTCTGTCTTCTCGTTTCTAGTTTCCTTCGATTTTCTCGCTTCTTTGTGAACCTTTTGAGATTCCTCACGCAAAAAAGAACTCATTCCCGTTTTGGTTTCTTGCTTTCGCTCTGAAAACATGACCTTTTTTTATTATAAAAGTGGAAACCAGTGCATCTAACTTAATGGCCTAACTTTCGCAAGATAGGTTTTTGGGGCTACCAACTTGAAATGGCCTAGAATTAGTCTGATATTCGCTTGGTATCTTCTCTAGGCCGTTTTGAAATGGTGGCCTAACTTTTTCTAGTTCAGTTTTTAGGCCACTATTTGAAAATGGCCATTGAATGCCCTAACATGCACCTAGCGTGTTTTCCAGGTCATATTGAAAATGTGGCCTTACTTTTGCAAGTTAAATTTTTATGGCCACTTCGATAAAATAATCTAGAAAACACACCAGGGTCATGTTATGGCATTTTTAGGCCATTTTGAAGTGGTGGCCTAAAAACTGAACTAGAAAAAGTTAGGCCACCATTTCAAAACGGCCTAGAGAAGATACCAAGCGAATATCAGACTAATTCTAGGCCATTTCAAGTTG